TACTCTTAAGCTAAGAAATGATCCTCTTTGACTCATGTCTCTTAAAAAAACTTAAACAGATAAAAGTATTGGATAAGCTTTCATTTTTTAAAAACATTTCACAATTCATTCCTCATAACAAGGGAAAAAGGAAAGAATAATTTTATCACTAGGAAATACTTCTTCAATCATTGCCTAACCTAGACAAATATCTCACTCTGTGTTCTGTAATACTCAAGATAAATAATTTGCTTTCATAAACATGAGAAATGATTAATTTGTAATTTATGCAATGCTAAAGATATAACTGAATCCACCTATTGAAGCAGACAAATACAACAAAACTTTCAAAAAACTCTATTTACCTTCAATAATATGAAATATGAAAGCATACCTTCAAATTTCAAATACTGAATTAATTATAGCTTCCCTGATAACTAAGATCACAGCCCTCTGTGCCATTAATTTTCAAAGGAACCCAGCAGCACAACTCTGAGGAAAAAAAAAAAAAAAAAAAAAAAGAAAAAAAAAAAAAGTTCATGCCTTAGAAATACATTGGAATGAATGTAAAGTGGCGGATCAAAGGTGGTGAGCAATCGCGGAGAAATCATTGGTATTGAAGCATAACGCTTCATGATTATTGTTATTTACTTGATATTTCCCCTGATATAATACAAATAAATTAATGCTTGATTTAGTTTGAAAATATCTGAATTTTAAAAATGCAGACCAAGGAGGAAGTAGGGGAGGTGAAAGGCAAAGAGGGGAGCGGGGACGGAAAGAGGCTTTGCTTGGGGCAGTGGCCGCACGATGCTTTGTTGGGTTGTGCAACTGAAACCTGTACGGTCTGGCAAAACAATGTCACCCCAATAAACTCAACTAAAAACATAGATGCACATGATAGTGGTTTCATAATCTAAAATTACAAGTCCAAATACATTAATTATCTTTCAAAAGAATGAGGTTGAAGAAGGAAAACAGGTCAAGTGTGAGGTCTGAAAGCATGAGACAACTGTAAATTCTCTCAAGCTGTGACTAAGAGAGACAAAGAGGTGTTACTGTCCACATACCCAAAGTGACGCGATAGTTCTCCTCCAACTGGGTCAGGTCACCTCAAGGATCTGATAGGACTCTAGCAATCCTTTTTTTTTTTTTTTTGCATTTTAATGATCCTGTTTCTGAACAATTTTGCCTTCCTAGTAATAAAGGTCACCTCTTGGCCTCTGTTTAGTAACAGAAAGAAGATGCTTCAGTAACATCTTGAAGTAATATAGCGTTAGAATTATTTATTAAATTCTGAAAAGTTTACCACTGGAACGAGCCCAAACTGTACAGCCCTGTAGCAGAGATGATATTTTATAGTTGGATGTAAAAATCCTGAATCTTCTCATCTCACAGTGGCCGTGATTAGGGATAAAAATGTCTGGGAAGACTTTTTCAGCACCCCCCACCCCTTCCTTTAGCGTGTCCCTGGGGCGAAGGGAGTGCATTCTAGTGCTTGGAAGTGACAAAGCTCTGAACCAAGGGACGAATGTCTTGGTCTCCTTGGAAGTTCTTGGCCTATTTGCATATTGTTTCCAGCTATGCTAAAAGTTACAGCCCCCAAAGGAATATGGCTTTAACTACATTTCAAAAACTGAATTGCTTGTTTGAACAAACATTGGCGGGATAAGGCAGAGAGCAGGGTTTACAAGTACAACCTTAATCTTATTACAAAATTTTCACTTATTTTGTTACAGATGAAAAATATTCCTGTTTTCTGGAAAAGCTCTACACATCTTTCAAATTTTGAATGTCTTTATTGTAGCACCAACCACGGACACGCCAAGAGCACTCTGCATTATTAACTGAAATAGGTTCAGAAACGCCCTGTCTAGGACCACAAGGATGTTCTGATGTTTTCCTGGAAAGCGAGGGCAAATGTCCATAGCAATTTTGAGAGCACATTTTCTAAAAACTCCCACAGATGAAATATGACTTGGTTTTTAAACTGTGCTCAGTGGAGCCCCGGGGCTGTGCTCACGAACCAGAGAGGACAAGGCCAAGGCGGAGGGGAGACAGGAGCAGCGGCTTCTCTGTGCCCCACCACTCCCTAGCCGGAGCAGCCATTCTTTTATTTATCAGTCAATCAATATCTATAGGCTATATAAAAGTTATGATTCAGACAATATTTTGTTGGGAAAATGGGGGAGAGGGAGAAAGAGAGAAAGAGAGAGGGATAGAGACAGATACTTGAGAACCACTCTCTCAGTTTAAAATTTGCTCTCTTACGCGTTCAGTCCACCATTACATTCTACATAACAAATAGATCCCAATCACATTAAAAAAGATTACATAATTAACATGTCTCAATTAAAAGAGCCAAGGAAAGAGCCAAAATGGATGACCTGTGGACTGTGACAGCTGAAGGGAAAGCCAGGTGGCACACGAGCAGGGTCTGTGGTCGGCCGTGCTGACACTGCCTCACTAGGGTGACTTCGATGGCAGTTGCCACCGTGCTACCGAGCGCTAAGCCCAGCTGGTTTTAACAAGGCATGGCAGCTCAGACCAGCGAAGACATGGCATCTTCCTGGCTCTGGAGATACTGAATGATCAGGGTTGGAAAACGAATTTTTCAGAGAAACAGCTCCCAGCTGCAAAGACCCGCCCCGCTTTGTCACTGTGCCTATTCTTTCTCCCCTAAAAAGACCTCTGCTCTCCTTTAACTGGTAAAACAATCTTCTGAGGCTCATTTCAAAAGTTACCCCCAGGGATCTGTTCAGGCCAGGACACTCAAAAGGGCCACAGCCAAGCGCTCCTTATTGGCCTGTGTGTACTAACTAACATCTATTAAGCACCTACTGTGAATAACTGAATGAAACTACGGTTTCAGGGTAGGGATGGACTAGGAAACCAGTCCTCATTTGAAACAAGTTGGCTGAGTAAGAGAACCGTAATCTTTCTGGGTCTTAGACTTTTCAATAAAACTTAGGGACCATGGCTTATCACAAACTAAAGAGGAATTATCTATAAATTAACTTTTCCATTTATTTTAGGTAGGAGGTAGTTGTAAGGAAGACTTCTGTATTTCCAAACTTAAAACATACACACACATGTTCTGGACTTCCCTAGGCAACTTCAATTTCACCATGACTCACAATCGCCATCTGCTGGTAAAAGGTTAAATATCTATTTCATTTAAAGATGGAAATCACAGGGCTTTTAATAAGTTATTACACACACACACACACACACACACACACACACACACACCCCCCACCCCACCCTCCACCACTGTTTAACCTATAAAATCTAATCTATAAATTCTAGGATATTCAGGTTAAAAATGTTAGGCACATTAAACATTCAACTCCAGAGTTTTCTACAGTACACTTCACAAAGAAACAAAATATAATATCTAAAATCCATTTTCAAATATTTTATTGTCACTTATCATATATTAATTCCATCTCATTAGCATGGAGGAAAAACTGGCTACATTATATTCAGGCTATGTAGAAAGGAGGCAGAAGCATTTCCAAACAGGGTAAATTTTTATTTTTTCACTTCTCAAAGGGTAAGAAAAGCAAAAGATTAAAAATCAACACCATTAATGCTTCAAGACATGTGACTTTGGTTGGAAAGATCGAAAGAGATTATGGTCATGGCCTCATAAATAAAATATCTTATTCCTCCACATCACCTCCAAGACACAATCATATACAAGTATGTTAGGAAAAAAGAGAGAGAGGAATTCAGTAAGTTGATTAATAAAACAAGCCTCCTGCCATATGTGCGCATGTAAAATTCGGGGTGGGAAGGTTATCGGGTTGAAAGGTGCCATACAGGCTATCACAAGTCTTCTGAGAAATAAGCAGGATGCAAAAATAAATTCAAATATAAGGGAGAAAGGAGAAACAAACCAGCCCCTAACATGATCATTATCTATTGAGGACACAGGAGGACAGTGTCTAGAGCCACATACAACAGGGAGAACGGCCTGGAGTTGGAGCATGACATTTCCCAGGGGAGCGGGCACACGGGCAGTGGAAGGCAGAAAAAAAACATTGGCTTTTACTCACCTGAGAGCAAGATCAAATAAACTGCAGCTACCAGGAAGCTTGATTCCATGCAGTACAAATGTGAGTATAGTTGGAGGAAGTTATTTAATGGAAAATTAAAGGTTAGAATGATGATAATTTGAGTGGCTAAGAGCATGAACTTCTGCGCCAGAGTGAGAATTCTGGCTTGTTCTCTTATGAGCTGTGCAATCTCAGCCAAATTACTTCGCTTCGCTGTTGCCTTGATTTCTTTATCTGTAAAACTGGGGTAATTAATGCTACCTACCTCAATGGGATGTTGTGAAGATTTAATACATTAATAGATTCAAGTGCTACGAATAGCACCTGGCACAGTAAGAACTATGTAAAAATGCTTGCTATTCTTAGTTAAGGAAGCAAGATTTCTTGGTATTTATACAGCATCAATCATACTGTGTCCATAATTTTGGGGTTGACTAGCCTGGGTCTCTTTGAGAGCAAAATGAGAATATTTTTAGTTGTGACAGAAATGATGGGTGTATAATTTCTGATTGACATATTCTTTATTGTTAGCTACAGAGTCACATAAGCAATATATTTATTCTATTATTTTGAATTACACATTATATACCTTCCTTAACTATATGTACACATGCATTGTGACTTGTGTGCACATGTGCACATATGTGTGTATAAAGGGGGCATGTGTATGTCAGTGACGCAGAGGCAATGGAATAAGTACATCGGTGAGGAGATCGCTAAACTTTTAGTTTTAGCTTCAAAATAGTGACATGAGTAAAGACCTATCCAAAGTCATTCCAGAGACTTTTCAGCAAAAACTTGAACTGGTATTAAGATTTGTCAATGCTTAGACCAGAGGAGATTCAACAGTAAGTGGTATGTCAAGATATTGTGATTTTTATTTTATTGGCCCTGTGAGTAAAGAACTGGAGTTGTCTGGAAACCAAACTTTCTATATGAGCAAAACAGTCTTCCACGTACCTTTTCAATTAACTCATAACTCTCCTCGAGTTTGAGCTGCCTGTTCTGCACAGATGTTGATGCACGCTGATAGACCGCTCGCCACTCCTGGAAGTCGCTCTCTGAAATCTCAGCCACAGCAAAACATAAAGTTCTTAATCCTGAAAAGGTAGCATACAATGCCAACACCAAATAAAATTTTATTCAGAAGTCTGACACTTCCATTTTTATTTAACAAAGTCTCGTTCAGAAAACATTCCTTTAATTGCAACAATATGTTGAAGTCTGATTCAAATAGGACAAAACCTTAGCGTAAAATGTATGTTAATGTTTCCCTAGCCTTTAAAATGGGCACCCTGCTTCTAATTCCCAGCTCCTTCCATCCATCCTCCAGGCCTAGAGTGACTTTTTTTTAAAACCTAATTTTATCAGGTTATGCCTCTGCCTGAAATCCTTCATCTGTTTCCCCCAGAACAGAGTCCAAACCCTGAAGTCTGGCTCATTCACCGTGTATCAGTTGTTTTCAACTTTGTGTCCTGCCATTTACTTCCTCTATACCCGGGTCTTTGCACATGCTGGTCACTTTTTCTGCATTCCACCCGGGTCTTTGCACATGCTGGTCACTTTTTCTGCATTCCACCCACGTCAGCTCCCCTCCACAGTCTGCCTTGCACCTTCCTTTAAGACTCAGCTCTTAAAATCACTTCTTCAAAGCACCCTCTTCTCACCTTGGTCCCCTGGGCAGAATATCCCCAACACTGATAGGATGTGAATGACAATGTTTCATTGTTTTTCTTGTGGCTCTCCTACATTAGCTTAGTGCTCAGGGAAGGCAAGGACCCAGCCATACTGCAACTCCGGTGCCGAGAGCAATGGGTGGCTGCTCATACTGGCTTCATAGATGAGTACAAAGGGAGGAAGAGAGAGCCCAGTGAGGTCTGCTGGGAGAGCCACCTTCCTCTTCCTGGGACATGGGGTTGTATTTATTATTGTTCTTTAACACTAGAATTTTGTAGTCATAAAAACATCTTATAAAAACTGAGGAATTGTGACAAAAACCCCCCATCGGAAACACCCTGTGGAAAATATTCAAAGTTGATGTTTGAGGTGACCCGTTCTCGGTGCTCGGTGTCCATTGATTTCATAACTCACTTGGAGGCCACCTTCAGCTAGAAGAGAGTCGAGGGGTTGGGACAAGGAAGAGGCGAAGATCCTCTGTCAGCCGTGACAAACACAGTTAACGAGGTTCCCAAAAAGACAAGGCCCTCGCTCATTTGACTCTCAAATAACTAGGCCCTAGTGATCTCAGGTCCAATGAAATATGGCTGGGGAACCGGTCAGGAGCAAGAAGCAAATAACAGAGGACATAAAGTGCTCACAGCTTCTAAGAAAGCAGTAGCTTTGCCTATTGCCAGATCACTGAGAGAAGAACTTAAATCTTTAGGGCCATATTAGAGCATGTTTTTCTCTTTTGGAAACTTGGCTGGAAACTTACTCTGGGGTAACCATGGAGTACAAGTGCTGGTCAGACCAGGGCCAGAAAGATCAGGGTGGAGGTGGAGGCCATGCCAATGTGAATCTGTCTAAGAGCTGGCATGTCTGTAACGTCACAACCAGGCAGGAGGAAGATGCTCCACTAATCAGGAACCTGCGCTGCACGCTGGGTAGGCTCTGCCTGCCATGCCCCTTTCAGGTTGCACCATAAGGAACCTGAGCTCTATGGACAGGTCTCTCTATGCTCTTGCATTTCTGGAGGAAAATTGGGAGAAGGTTGTTCATGTCCTTGCTTTTTAAAGCCTAGTGTTTTAAACATTCCTCTCTTTTCACAGTTTGGATTAAGAGGAGAAAGAACCTGATTCGAGGTCAGGCTTGGTGTCACTGGCACCAATTCTGCCTAAGAAGACAAGAGTGAAAAGTCAGATGAGAGATTTAGATACAGCTCTGGCCACTCTGGTTAAGCTTAGACTTGAGATTCTACCAATTCTTGTATAATGGACCCTAATGTTTAACGACTCTCACTTCCTCTCATCTATTCTAGGTCTCCTCCCTAGACTGTGCACTGTCTCGTCATATGGATCATGTATTTCAGCAGGACAGAGAAAAAGGACTAAGCTTATTTACCGTGGACTCTTAAGCCTCACACAGAGTCTGAATAACTATGTACATAGTTATATCGGTATCTTTCTTTCTTTTCTTTTAATTCAGGTTAGAATACCCAGTTCTTTGCCTCTGGTTTCTTTTCCTTCTGCACAGCCTGAGATATAAAGTAAAGCATTTAAACTGCAAGTAGTATTCATTCTAAAAAATGGACAGATTTATAGGCCCTATACCCTCTAAAATAGTGGGGAAAAAAATGTTAGTAAGTACAGGAAAGCAAAATACAAATAATAGGCGGGAACAGCATAATATAATTAATCAACAGGAATTGTTACCTTGCTTTAGGAATCTCTAAGGAAGATAATAACAATGATCCTGCAGGTTATCAATAGTGCATGATTGTTTTAAAATTTTTAATGATGCTTTATCACAATAGTACACTCACCTTCTGTAGCAAACTGCTCTAAATGTTTTAGGGTAATTTCTTTGTATTTTGAGGTCTCTGCCAGTCGATCATAAATTACGGTGTCCTGGAAAACAAACAGAAGATATACATTTAAACTGAGCATTCTCAGTTAAATAAAATTGATCCTGGCAACATTATTAGCAGCAAATTGGCAATGACAACAACCACTTTTAGCACTGGTTTTAAGGCATAAAATATTTTCCCTTCACAACACCACTTCCCTAATGACACTAGCCAAGTAAGGTTTTAGTCTGATATTCTTCATTTTTCTCTTCTGAATAAATGTGTAGTTACTCCAATGTTCCAAATCTCATATTCAGGCAACATTTTGCCTCCCGCATGCTGTGGGATCTGTCCCCAGCCCTGAAAGCTGTGCAGAAAGGACACTGCCGTGTTCATAGGTGCTACAAGGGAGAATGCCCAGCCCTCAGAAAGCCTGGGACAGGCTCGACTGAACAGAGCTGGAGAGCTTGCCCGCTGCAGCACTTCTTCAGAGCCTTTCAAATACGGATGTGCACGGGGCATGTCTACGGCGGCCACGTGCACCTGCCCAAACTCATTCACTCCTGGACCTTTCAGGGCTGAGGGGGTCTGGATGGGACTGTGCTGACAAAAGAGCAAACTTTGAGAGGCACAGGTCTAAGCTCGCTGAGAGGGCTGGTGTGTAAAGTAGGGAGAATCTTGGATACACCTAGCATTGCCCTAGAGCTGAGTATTTCAGATTGTGTCATTTCAGCTTTAAGACTTAATGTACTTGGCCTGCAAAAATCCAATTACTGGATTATCTTTAAAGTTCCTGTCAGCTTTAATTGTATGCACCACTTATGTTTCTCTAACTTTTGGCCCTTTATAAACTGCCTATTGTTCCTTCAGTTATTCTCTTAGGCTTGGGTTTAACATTTTAAGAATTTTACTACTTGGCCTTCATGGTTTTATTTGACCAGGAAAAAATAAATCATTTACCTGCAATTACTTTCTCAGTGGTATTACCCACTTTGGGGTCTCCAGTCTCAGGGCTGAGATGTGGAAGCAGACTAATGGATTATGATTTAGAACCCTTGAGAGAAACAGAAAACTTAGTGACCTCAGAACAGATGGAATATTCCAGGCCCCAATTATGAATTTCTTTTCATTTTTCAGTGGCGGAACGGGAAGGGGGGCAAAGCAAAGGAAATAATAATTTCCCCTCATGGCTCCTTCCTGAGACTGAAAGGTATAACTTATGAACAATTTTTTTTCCCAGACGTTCATGAAATTTTCAATGAAATTAAAAGAGGGCATTTAAAACTAAGAAAATCTTTTTTAAAAGTAAAATCATGTAAACACAAGTGGTAAGAAGGCTAGGGAGATGAGGCTCTGCCATGCTGCCCGGCATTCTGGCGGAACAAACTGATGCTCAGGCTAGGAGGATTTTTTTACCGTCTTTACAGTGTTGAGAAAGAAAGGGACAGAATGTGACTTTCTGCATGAGTTGCAGAGCATGTTTTTAAATGACAATCACAACTGTCCACCCTTCCATGTGAAAAATACATACATACCGGTTCCTTTACACCCAGAGCAACACTCATTCACTCAGAGGGCTGTATCACATAGTCAAGCACTTGGCACATTGTTAGGAACAAAAAAGGCATCTTCCCGGGCACTGAAGCAGATCCGCCCTAGGACCAGGCTTAGAACCCACTGAGTCTGCATTGACAGGAAATCCTAACTGCGTTTGCTGATCTGTGTCGGTCCTTGGCAAGGTCAAAGTGGGGAATCACGGGGAGCGGGTGCTGCCAGAGTGGCGTGGCACAGATCACAGTCACTTATTTGTGTAAAGAGCCTAGAGCTGCAGGATGAAAAATCTTAGGTGAATTTTCATTCAAAGAGTTCATCATTTAGACTGACGTTCCACGCTGCTGTCCTTCCTACAGGGTGCTGCATGTGGCAGGTGTTCAAAGCATGTGTGAAATGAATATCTGAAGTAATCCTCAATCATCCTGCAATTTCACTTGTATGGAATACTACATTACACAATATTGCCAGATAAAGAAGGGACTATGTGGGGAAATGCAAGAGCCAACGATAAGGGGGCAGCAAGAAAAAAAGGAAAAAAAAAAAGAAAAAGAGGTCTCACATAATTACTTATATGACCACTGCAATTTATACTGAAGTTACCTAGATGATTGTGCTACAAGTCAGCCCATCATCATCAAGGAATCTGCTCTTGTCGTCAGGTTAAACAACAAGGTGAGACGGACCTGCTGCAGTACATTTGTGCCCCCGTGAACTGGAGTGTTTTCTAAAGACAGTAGACATGTCTGTGTTTAAATACAGACCAACAGGTTCTGGGTTTATGTGTGCCATTCAGAATTACTAATTAGTGATAACTAATTCCAGATACGGTCTTTTTGCATATGGCACAAAATTTTATTTAAGGGGGCACTTAAATTGAACTTTTCAGTCACTTTAAGGTCCTTAAAGCATTCTGCATACTTAGCCAAGTTTCTAATTTCTGCTCTGGAATGTAAGTATTGGAGTAGGACTTTTATTTTCTTGAATAAATTAAATTTTTATTTGGGCCAATGTAACTTTTCTTAAATTGGCTTCAATTACTGATATAAATTGTATATTGTACACTTTTCCTTTTTTTTTTCCATCTAAAAATTAACAAAGCAAGACAACCTCACTGCAGAAAACCTGGGAAGAAGTAAGAACTGTAAGTCATCCAACACACACACACACACACACACACACACACACACACACACACCCACCCCGCCCCCCCTTTGTGCTATATTCTAGACGAACTCTTCAGTACTATCTTCCAGTTCACTAATTCCACCCCTACCCCTTCAACTCTGTGTAGAGTTTATTCCATTTACTGATGTTCTTTTTAAAATTTATTTACCATTTCTAATTTATTCTATAGGTAGCCCCATTCTCCCCTTTCCCCTATTTTTTATTATAAATCATTGAAATATAAAAAATGATCATTTCTTTATCATGCTCAGCTCTAAACATCCTTTGTCAGACTGGTCCACACAGATGACCTCAACTGCAGTGAACCTACGGCCCCATTGTCTCTGTTCTTGCTGCCTCAGCTTGGCCCTTGCTCTCCCCCTCTCTGCCCGCCTCCCAGCCTAGTGGGTCTCTGTGCCCCCAGCAGAGGTGGGCAGGCTGGCTCCCGCCTGCATTTCCCAGGAAGCACTATTTGCCTCCATTGCCCCACAGAAACCAAATTCCAGCCACTCCTCCCTGATTCTGAACCCAGGGCCTGGAACTCATACCCTGCTCAGCTCAAGACTGCATTTCAATGCACTGCTTTGATTTTCTGTTCTTATTTTGCTTTTGAGCCCAGTTTTCTCCTTACAGTGTTCTGTGATTTTGGAATAGAGGAGATATATCAAAATAGGAACAAACTATGCTACTAATACTTTGACTTCTTAACTGACTTTTATTACTAAAGTATTGTGTTGCACTTGTCACTTTTGATTATTGACTCTACCGACAAGCCATCAGATTCCTTAGACTTTCCTCCACATTTCAGTCTCTTCCCGCCACCCTCCCCCCATTCCTCTACTTTTCACTCTTAGTCCTCCTTTCTTTTCATGTAATATTTTCTTCATGCGAGATCTCATCAATCCTTTGCTTTTAGTTTCCACGTATACTTGTTAACTCCTAAATCTGTGTCAGCACCCCAGGCTTCTTCCCCTATCAATTTCAGATTATCTCTGCCTTATGGCCCAGAGGTGGCTCCCAACACTCTATCTTGGATATGGTGTCCCTTAGTAAACTCTTAGCCAAGCAGAAATCTGGTAACAGTCCTGGATCCTCTCTCCCTCATCGCCCACATGTAATCAATTACTACATCCTAACTCTGTCCTCTCATTCCTCTCTGCAGCGGTCTTGGTTTAGGTCCTTACTGACTCTGGCCTCGACTATCATCAATAGCCTCAATGGGTAACTCCGTATGCATCTCTTTTCTGTCTTAACTCACTTCCTACATGGCATCAGAACAATCCAGAAAAAAGTAAAAGTTCTTGGGCATGAAAAACACCTATGAGCTAATTCAGGCCCATCTTTCCAGTCTTGCATTTTGCCATTCTCTGCCAAGCTACATGTAGTTCTTGAACGTACCCTGCTGTTTTATATGTCTATGCCTTTTTAGTATTTAAACATATTTCATAGTCAATTTGAAAATGGGGGAAAACAGTGCAATAAGTAAGTTAATATATGCAGACCACCTCTGTGATTATTTAAAAATGGAATCCAATGTTTTTATTTCATAGTCAATGCTTTAACTACCTAAAGTTCCTAGGTAAAAGATTCTTCAAAACTAAGAAAGATAAAATGTGAGTTGGGTATAGTAAACTGGACATACATATACCAACCATTTAAAGTGGGAGGTCTTAACGGCACTCTGTATTCCCTTATCACTGAATATTCCCATTGAGATACAGGTCTTTACAATGTACCTTAATATCTTAGCCTTATCTTCTCTTTACATATTTGCCTCACTAGTCTTGAGCTCCTGACAATGTTTGGGTCTTACTTTCCTTCCTATCTCCAAAATCCAATTCAAAGTCTGGTAGATAAAATGCACACAACAAATAAACGATAATTGTTTGAATTCACAACCAAAGGAATTCAAAACTATATTCATGAGAAATCACAAAATAGTTCTACCAAATACTTCACAACAAAAGATTCCAGAATTGCATTTTAATGCTTTAAAACCAAGGCACTGAAAAACACCAACAGAAAGTACTTAAAAAGCTTGGTCTTCTTAATAAGTTCAATTTCCAAGTTACATGTAATTTTAAAGCAATGTGGTTGATTATATTGAAATTTGCAAAGTTCTAAGTTGGTAAATTACCTGACTAGTCTAAGTAGACTAGGTACCTGGAAAGGAGAATTCAGAGGTAAAATACTAATTTTAAGAATAATAATAATAAAAAAAGACTCTGGTCCGTAGATTTCTTATTTTTCAATGAGTGGAAACATATTTTAACTAGGAAAAATTAAGCTGGAATGACATCTTACTGTTTCTGCCAATCAACCCTGCCAATATACTAAGGCCGACCAATAGTTAAAATTTCTGTTATTATTTAAAACAATGCAAGACAAATACTGATCACCCCATGAAGAAATTAGAGCAGTAATTGTGATCCAATTTGCCTTCGTTTCAGTGGTATTTAAAAAATTAAATTGAAACTGTGTGGATCACCACATTTCTAATATAATTAAAAAAAAATTTTCTGTATTTAAGTATCTTCTAAGTTAATTTATATTATATAAGCTTCCAATATTATGTATTAAAAATTAAATTATACAAATAACCTAGGCCAAACTTTTTCAAATACCAAATTTATCCAGAAGGAATTCCACGTTTCACCAGAAGAGGCCAAACACTATTACAATAAAACACCAACAAAAGTGGATGTCAGCAACTTCATGCTAAACATCTGTGTTACATTTCCATAGCAGAATGCTTAACATATACATTATAAACCATCATAAATCAAAACTGCAAAAGACAAAAATAAAAACTTACAGCTCCTTTGCAGTAAAGTCGTAACTTCCCGGATGGAGTGCGAACAATCACCGACATTCTTTTCCGAGCGCTGAAGAGGAAAAGGTTTTCCATAAGGTGTCATCATACTAAGAATACTCATCTATGTGTTTGCCATGCCTCACATATTTTAATACTCATGCTGAAGAAATAAATTTGACCAGATTATGAGCCCTGGCCTTCCACATACACAAACCCTCCCCTGGGTGTACCGTTGGGTACCTTGGAAAGTTGCTTTATGTATTTTAAGGCCCCAGGGTACCATGTGCTGCCCTGGAGGAAGGATTTATAAAACAGCTCTCTGGAGACCTGCAGGAGTTAGTACCCACCGGGGTGGAGGAGAGCTCTGGTTCCATGTGTTTATTTAAAAAAATACAGTGAAGCCAGAATGTTTTAGGATGAATCGTAAGTTACAGCTGTTATTAAACACAGAAATGGTGATCAATTTTAAGTACAAACCCAATCACACATAAAGGCAAACACTAACACTTTAAAACGAACTTAAACATTCACAACTACTGATTTTCAGTGATTACCAGCAAGGCACTGGCATTGGGTGAAAAATCTAATTTACATCACAAAGCTAAGCTAATGAGCACAGACATTTTAACACTGTTTTGGTGATATAAGCAGTTTAATAAAAACTGTTAGTCAAATACACATCTTTCAAAATATTAGCAAAGAGACAGCAAATAACACTGAGTAGAATGAACTGGTACAGCCTCGCATAGAGTGGGCCTCGTCTGGAACCCAGCGTGTGAAAGCCTTCTCTCCAGAAATGAGGGGGAGAAAGGACTTCTCAAATGTCTCTATCTATTTGTTACATCTTATAATGTTCTGCTGTGAAAAAACGGAGACAAGTCCAACATAAAGTAGCAGGGAAAGGTAGTGTCATAGCACACAGCCAGAACTTTCTTTCAGAAGTATCTAGAAATATTTAGTCTCCTCTTACCCGATCTATATTCCCATTGTACGGTCATGTACCACCCTGTGACATTTTGGTCAGCAACGGACCGCATAAATGATGGTGGCCCCGTAAGATTATAATGGGGCTGAAAACGCCCATCACCTGTTGAATCCATCCTAATGCCACAGCGCAACACACCGCCCACGTGTTTGTGGTGATGCAGGCGTGAACACACCTACTGCCCTGCCAGTTGTATAAAGTGCAGTGTGTACAATTATACACGGTGCATAATACTCGAAAATGACAATAGAAGACTATGCTGCTAGATTATGTGTTTTCCATGCTATACTTTTCATAGTTATTTCAGAGTGTACTCTTTCTACTTGTTAAAAAGGTTTGTTGTAAAACATGGGAGCTGTTACACCAGCAACAGTATCATCCATCTTGTGTTTACTGCGTCCCTGATCATTCATTTTCTCTTGTGCTTGATTTAATCGCGTGTTGTTTTGCTCATCATGACCCCTAAGCATTGGCATGAAGATGAAATCGCCTACATATCCCAATTGCTAAAAGACAAATGGCTGCATCACTACCTCTGATCTCCATCCCTGTTCTTCAGGAAAATATCTGACTGGTCCCCCTTTGTCATGACAGCTGTATATTCTATCTCAGCCCTTCTTTTTTTATTTACTGAGTTTACTGAGGTGACACTGGTTATTAAAATGATATGTTTCAGGGGTATAATTCGACAATACATCACCTCTATATGTATTGTGTGTTTACCACCCCAAGTCAAGTTTTCTTCCACCGCCATTTATCTCCCCTTGACACTCTCTGACCTGCTCCCAATCCCCTTTCCCTCTGGTGATCACCATACCGTTGTCTATCTATGAGGTTTTTTCTCTCTTTTTTTTCTTAATTCCCTCAACCTTTTTACCCAGCCTCCCTCCCCTCCTTGCTCTGACTGATGTCAGTCTGTTCTATGCATCTATGAGTCTGTTTCGTTTGTTAAGTTTATTTTGTTCATCAGATACCACATGTAAGTGAGATCATACGGTATTGCCTTTATCTGACTGGCTAACTTTACTCAGCAAAATACTCTCTAGGTCCCGCGCTGTCCCAAGAGGGAATGTTTCCTTTTATTTCAGCCCTTCTTGATTCATGCCTTTCTTAATCGAGCTTTGTTGACATGGTCCCAAACTCATCAACTCCTCTTCTCTCCTCCTGGCAAAACTCCCAAATCCTGAGTGAATGGGAACCCTTCCTGGGGCACAGCAGAATATGCGGACATCGCTGGAGAAAAGTCACCCGGCACAGTGATTAGTAATTGCATAACACCAAAGTCGGTAGCTCCATACTGCCCAGTAGCCCACTAGATTTTTCTAACAAGCCTGTTTTCTCCCCTCTGCAGCACTCTGGACACCTTCTCCATTCATTCTCTAAGTCTCCAACGCACCCCCGTCCTCTTCGGACCCCTTGAATTTTTACATTTCACCTTGAAGAAAGCCTCCAACAAGAAATCCCTATTCTTTCTGCCATTAAAACCTACATGTTTATCTACTGTGCATCCTTCTCTCTGTCTCTTTTCTTGAAACAAAGGAGGAAATGCTTCGTTTCCTATCAGGGACCTTCCCTTCACTTGTGCTGGGCACCTTCTCTCACCCCCCTTTCTCAGTACCCTCACTCCTGACGTAAAGGTGCTGCCTCCTGAATCTGCATCCTCTCCTTCTAGAATAGAGTCTTCTCATCAGTATTTAAACATGGTCTGGTCTCTCCCCTACAAACCTCCTCCCAAAAGCCCTCCTCCATTGAACCACACACACCCTTTCAGTAGCTCAACTTTTTAAAAACAATTGCTATACCCACTGTCTCCACTTATCTCCCCTCCTCCCCTTCCCTTCACCCTCTCTCCTCACCCCTGCATAGAACGGCTAAATCCAACACATGCTTTTCAACCTCCCTTCCTTTTACCTGACTTTGCAGCAGCCTCTCACTCTGAGGACCATTATCTCCCCCAAATCATCCTCTTCTCTGGGCGCTGTGCCATTTTTCTCTACTTCTCTTATCACAAAGCACTCTCTTTGCCCATTTTGCTAATCAACCCCTAAAAATTAGAGTTACTCATGGCTCAGCCCTCAGTCTTACTTGTCTCCCGCACTCTGATTTTATACCCAGGAGACCCAACTCATCTTCGTGGCTTAGGTATACCATTTACAGGCCCCTGACTACAGATCTTGTATTTCATCCAGGCCGCTGTACCCAACGGCCTACCCCTGACCCCTCCATGTGTGTATCTCAGAGGCATCTAGAACGCCATTCAAATGTCTCATCCTCCACATCTGTACCTATTCCTGTATCTTCCATCTGTACAAACAGTACCTCTATGAACCCAGCTACTTGTGCCAGAGACCCTTACCCCTCCCTCCTTTCTCCTTCCACACCCAATCCATCCCAAGTCCCCTGACTGCTCTCAAGGTGCATGGACTCGATCAACTCCATTTTATTTTCACAACCATCACCTTAGTCTAAACCATTACCGTCTTTCACGGTCTGTTTTTAATATCACCTTACTCACTATTTTCACTTTCCCCCTGAAGCCTACCCCTGCCACAGCATTTTGAAAAAGCTTAAACTCCCAACCTTGCTCTGTTTTTCTTCTGGGGATTTATCGCTTAGCATAAGGCTTCAATGTACACGTTAATAAGCAAACACAACCACATGCTAATTGATATACTATTTATAATATTTTATAGATATAATACAAGGAGGCTTAGGAAAAACAGCTGCTTTGACATGCAAAAGACAAGACAGGGAGGATACACTCTGGGAATACTCTGTTACAGTTACGCATCCAAGTTCTAATGCATTTCCCCTTGAGCCTCTTAGTATATGCAAGTAAAGAAAACACTGTTTAAATAATAAATTAGACAGACCCCATTACTTTGGATGTTAACCCCGGGCATGGGGTCACTCCCAACCAACACAGCAACTGAAGTTGGCAGAGAGAAGGAAATGCCTTTTCAAGCCCGTGACCATGCTTGCCCGAGGTAAGAGTATGTCCAGGAAAAAGGCAGATACTTATTTCATTTGAAGAGCAGCATTACTCCCTGCTTGGGGCCTTAAAGGAGCTTTTAAGTGTCCTGTGAATGGTGATGCAAACTTTAAAGGTCCTCCTATCTGCAGCTGAAGACTACTTGCCCAAAAAATGCAGGTCAGTTGGGAAAGTACACAGTCCTGTGGGAATAAAATGTCTAGCACTCACAGAGATATCACTGATTATAACAGATGGCCTTTATTATTTGACTTTAAGAAATGCATTAAGTAGAATAATCTCTTTGCTTTCTGCTTTTTCCTACCAGATAATAAGTGGTTTTATACCTAACAGAGAGATAGATATGGTTTCCAGAATCCCAAAGACAATTAGATATAATGAGCATATAATTAGAATGGTGGGTTCCTAACTCTGATTCATCTTCACTCCACATAAATCTTGGCCCCTTCAAGTGTAACGATGTTTCCAGATCATTAGCTGCAGACCCCTGGTCCTATACACTAAGGCTGTGATGCAGACAGTCATGTTGAAAAATAGTTTTACAGTATCTTCAGTAGTCCTATCTTGCAACATTCTGAAAGAAGCTGTTTCTGATTTATCTACTATGAAAATTAAAACCTGTACTGAAGATTTTAATTTAATATTTTGTCCAAGTAAATTTAGTTAAATAAAAGAAAGCTTACTTTCTTACTTATTTAAAGGGAAAAAAATAACAATAGATAGAAATTTATTGCATACACACAAATCACAGAGCAGCCATTTTACCTGGTGAACTCCAGGACATTGAGCAATTCGTACCTCTCCTCTTGGCCCAGCTATGAAGAAAAGGAAAACAAGGGTACATCAAGGTGGAAATAGCTTTGGCTTCTTGAAAATAAACCTTAGTCATGAAAAAATTTTTAAAAGATTTTATTTGTTTATTTTTAGAAAGGGAGGGAGAGAGGGAGAGAAACATCCACGTGAGAAACATCAGTCGGCTGCCTCTCGTATGCGCCTGGACCAGGGACCAAATCTGCACCTCAGACATGTGCCCTGACCAGGAATCCAACCAGCGACCTTCCCATCAGGGTAGTCATGAAATTTTAATGTAAAAAAATGTCAATACCAACAAATCGTTCCTTTTCAAATACATCATCTTTTATTGAACTTACTTTCAGGTTAAGGAGGAAGATTGGGCATTTACATTAAATTTTCATCCTTCCTAATGCCCCCCTACAATGACAGCAAACCTTGAAAGAAAGAGCTTTGTAATGGCAGGAAAATAAGAAAAGAGAAAACAGCACCAAACATTTGAAAAGAGATCAATGAGTGGTATCTTACTTAGCAAGACACAGGAAGGTCAAATGCTGCCATAGCCGTGGAAAAGCTGGGAACCAACCGGACTGCACCACACCACCCTTAAAAGGCGTAAGGAAGTGAAATGCCTGATAGCTCTAGAATTGGGAGGTGGAAGGGGGACCTAAACTGGGGAAGGCTGGGTACCAGCTAGCAGAAAAGCAGCCCTCAGCACTGGTCCTTCCTGCACGTTGGTGGAAGACCAGAGCTAAAACGGAAGCTCTTCTGTCTAGAAGCTGACTGGCCCAGCTGAAGGTACGCAGGGTTCTACTGACGCTAACTGCTGCCCCAAGGCCCAACCCACTTAGCTCCCAATGATGTGGCAACCAGATCCCCCCAGGCAGAAATTGCAAGGTTACTTTCTGGGGAGTCCAACGTGCCCAAGAAAAGCCCCAGAGGTACAGATATCACAACTCCCCACAGTAATGCTACCAAACCACCCTCCCAGGAAGCTCACTGTTGACACCCTTGCATGTTCAGACTGCTACCTCGACTTCCAAGCCCCTGTCTATTTTTCTTTTTTCTTTTTTTAAGATTCCATTGATTTATTTATAGAGAGAGCGGAAGGGAGGGAGGGAGAGAAACATTGATGTTAAAGGGAAACATTGCTTGGTTGCATCTCGTGTGTGGCCTAACCAAGGACTGAACCTGCCATCTGGGCACGTACTCTGACTGGGAATCGAACCAACCGAGCCACACCGATCGGCGCAACTTCCTCATTTTTAACCAAGAGAATCCCAAGATGAATAGACATCTAGGGAAAGCTGCTGACAAAACACAGATACTCAAAACAGATGGAGCAAAGCAGTTTGGAGGAAAGAGAATTCAAAAGCACAACTTGGTGTCGGCCCATGGAGTTTAGGTTCCGGATTTCCTGATGGGCATGGGCTGGTGAGCAGGCCCTGGAAGCCCCTTCATTTGGTTTCAACAGGAGGCCGAGTGGTCAGCCATATGCTCCATAGGTGGCATTTTCTGTTCTGTCATTGGAGTTGCACTGCTGTGGCTTCCTGATGGCCTAAAACTGTTTGTGGCACTTTATGCCCTTGAAAATATTGCTGCATTAGTGAGCATATGCTTTTTAATGGGATCCATGAAGAACCTGCTTTAAACAATAAGCTTGCTTGTATCTATTCTTAATGTTTTTGTGATTAATATTTATACCTCGTGTGCTGCCCTTAGGCGGCATAGGAGGAGACTGGCCTTACTATTCAACACATTGCAGTTCTTGTCAAAGACCTGGTATAGTCTATCATTTACCAAATACAAGGCTCATTTCTCCTAAGTAGAAAATGAGAAACTTTGAGAAAAAACATTTAAAAGTCAATTTTAATTTTTGGTGAAGAATATACTTTTCCCCAAATGATAAGCACCACAAGAAACAAACAAAAACCCAACCACAGGGATAGTTTAATCATTTCATACTCTGGTAAAAACTACTGTTGAATTAAATTGTTATGTTTGCAAATTTCTTATTACTTTTTGTAAATTTCTCTTTAAATAAAAACTTCAAAAAAACCTATCATCATTCCTCTCAGAGAATATAATATGACATGCATGAAACAAAAATAGGATACTATTTAAAAAAATCAAAAGGACAAAAGAAACTCTAGAAATCAAAAACATGATAGCAGAAATAAAAAAAATATCAATAGAAAGGTAAGAAGACAAAGCTGAGGAAAACTTCCAAAAAGTAGAACAAAAAGGCAAAGACCTGAAAAGCAGGAGAGGAAAGTTAAAAGATCAGTTCAAGGATTCTAAAGAGAGAACAGAGAAAAAAGAAGGACAGCAAGTGGAATCATTCAAGAAAATATTCCCCAACTGAAGGGCAGCACATCAATTCCCAAATGGAAAAGGTTCACCCAGTGCTTAGTACAATGTATCAAAATATTCCCATGAAGGCACACGATAATAAAATTTCAAACTTTTAGAACAAAGAAGATCCTACAACCTTCTGGAGACAGAAGGGGGTGGGGGGCAAGTCACAGAAGATGTGGAATCACAAAGGGTTCCGATTTCTCCACTAGATGTACTGGAAGCTAGAAGATTGTGCAGCAATCATAATTCCTAAGGAGAATGACTTCCACCCTCGAACTGTATTTTCAGCCAGATTCTCAATTATTAAGCATAATGGTAGAGTAAAAAAGGTTTAGACTTGAAAGGACTAATAAATGAACTAATAAATAATTTCCCACGTACCACTTCTCAGGAAGCCACTGAAGAATGTGTTCCACAAAAACAGAAGAGTAAACCAAGAACAAGGAAGACATGGGATTTAGGAAACAGAAGACCTAACACAGAATAAAGGTAAAGGAAGCCCCCAGGAAGATAGGACAGTGATTCCAGGGTGACAACGGTAAGACCGTGGACTGTCAACTGGGACACGGTAGAGCCTGAGAGGCAGGAGCTGGGTTTGCCAAGGGTTGTCACTACTGCATCCTCTGCTTCTGTGACGGCTTTTAAGTGGGTGAAAATCACAGAATAGGTGTTCCATCAGAACAAGGGAGTTCACTGAGAAAGAAGATTTGGGGCATAGGAAATAGTCCTAAATGCGAGAAAATCGACAGGAATTTCAGATGCCATGGAAGCAGGCCTGAGAATGAAACTGGCCCAGGCCGGGGAGAACAGAGGGCTTCAAGTAGGGTGTCTCAAGGAGGGAATCGCTAAGTACAGATTATCTGGTAAAGGCATACGGAGAAGGTACGGAGACAATTACTAATAGGTAGAAGAAAATTAAGCAACTGAAAAAATACAGGGATTCATCTTTAAAAAGTAAAAATAAATTATTTTCAGGAAGTAAGTGTATGTCAGGAAAACAAAATTAAAACAAGGAAATAATCACGAAATACAGCAATGTTCAGCTATGAATATCGCTATAGGCATTAATCATGTAAATACTAAATAGTGATTCTTTAACAAGACACAATTTGTATATAATAAAATATATATTCCTTAAATGTATAGTTCAATGAAAACTGTACAGTTTGACAAAGGCATACGTGGTGAAACCACCGCCCCCGTCAAGATACAGAATATTCTCATCGCCCCTAAGTCCCTGTGCACTCTCCTCCCTGACCCTGAGGCAGCGGCTCTTCTGAATTTTATCACCACAAATCACTTTTGCATGATCTCGAGCGGCATGTAAATGAACTTAAAGAGTAGGCACTCTTGTGTGCCTGTTTTTTTTTTTGTTTGTTTGTTTGCTCAACATGTTTTTGAGATGTATCCATAATACTGATGAATCAATAATTCACTCCTTTTTTATCATTCAGATATTCTATGGTTTTGAGTGTATCACAATCTGTTTATCCATTGTTCTATTCGTGGCCATTTGGTTTGTGTCCAGTTTCTGGTTACTGTGAATAAACCTGCTATGAACATTCCATTAGACATTTGTTTTGTGGACATAAGCTTTAATTTTTCCTGGTTAACAATGACTAAAATTGCTGGGCCAGGTCCAAGGTTATCTGTATTAGAAAACTCTGAGTTTTTCCAAAGGGATTGCATCAGGTTACATGCACACTAGCAATACCTAGGTGCTCTGCTTGGTCTATATTTTCATTAACGTTTGGTGCAATGTTTTTAATTTTTAATTTTAGCTTTTTTGGTGGAATGTAGTGATGTCTCTTTGTGATTTTAATTTGCATTTCCTTGATGACTAACAGTGTTTTTTCATGTGTTCATGGGCCATTCATATATCTTCTTTGGAGAAATGTCTGTTTAACTCTTTTCCTATTTTCTAAACTGAATCTGAATACTTGTTTAAACAAAAATTGTAATATAATTATAATCATATTGGGAAGGGATGTTGAACCAGGAGAGAAAAATCCTCATTTAACATAAGAGAGTCAGTAGACATGTCTGCAATTTAAGAATCAAAACATATATAATCAATCACATATATTTTTGAAAACATGAGACATATAAATGCCTGATGAAAGAGTTAAAGAACAGAAAGTAGTTGCTTCTGGAGAGGGGAACTGGAGGAGAGAAGTTCTATTTTATCATGAGCCTTTTGGTATAATTTTATCTTTGAAGCTACACTTATGTTTACTTTGATAAACAAAAGACTTGGAAATAAATAACTTACTGAATCTATAATCACTGAGTCAGGTGTTCGTCCAGTGAAAACAAAATTCAGTTGCTTGGCTGCTCTGACCAAGGCTCCCTCATCTGTTTTGGGAAAGCAGAAGAAAGCAAATATGTGGTGAAATAAAAATTACCCCCAATACAAAAGAAATAATTACTGTAATACAACTTGCTGTTCAATTTTTAAAGAATTAAAATTATTTTTATTCTGGCTCCTGTTATTGCAATCCATTTCTTTTAAAATTATATGACAACGACAAAGGAATGGGTAGAATAGTCTGAACAAGCTGAGATACCCAGAGACCCCAGAATCATAGTTCTGAAGGTTAAGTCTCACTCTTATTCATACACAAGAAGGAACATTTACAGGCACTCCTTGGCCCAGCCTATTTTCTAGAAAACCTTTCTCAAAATGAATGATACAAAACTGCCTCCTTATATTTTATGTTTTTCCTCCTAAAACATTCATTGTAGAAAAACTGTACTACTAACTGAGACTCCAATTTAAACGGATATAAAATAATCAATTATTTATTCTCTCATGTATTAGCGTCATCACCATGTTACATCAAACCTTCCTGTTGCTCTGGGCAGGACGCGAGATAAGGGTGCATTCTCTGAGTTTCTATCCCAACAATATGAGATGTAACATTTCTCATACTTACAAGGAACTTGGTACAGTCTATAAGGTTTGATACTGGTTTAGAATACAGTTCAAAATACTTTATAACAAAGTTCTCGAAAGGGTGTTCCTTCTTTCCTAAAATCTTACAATAATTGACTTGACTATACATCCAATTTTATGTTGAGAAAAGGTCTAAAATTAAGCCTAAGATTAAATACTGCAAACTGTACAAATGCATTATTTTATGGAATCCCTTCAAATATGTAAACTATCTTCATCCAAATAAATCCCAACAAGCTCCGTGATTATCATTCCCAAAGAAGGAAAGCAAGGTTGGTGTCCTAAAGTGTACATTCTTCAGGAAAACAGATCTTTTTCTTGTCTGTTAATGTGCAAAAAGTTTTCAACTAATTTTTTTTTGTAAAGAAGGGAGAACTCACTATGTGCATATAAAAAGTACTTTTCACTTCTGTGAATTTTGTTATTCAAATTTCCATATAATTATGCCATCTACCAAAAACTACATATTCAAAGTTTTATATTTTAACATATAAATATATCTAAACATGAAAACCAAGGCCTTTCTAATTAGTAAATACATTTTTTGTCTAAAAAACATAAGTAGGTTATTTTACTTTTTAAAGTAAATTGATTTTTTCTTGACAATCTCAAATTTCAGAACAATTTTCTACTGAAAAAATACATCACAATTGCTTCATTTGCACCTGGAGATGCTGCTTGATAAATAATCTTATCGCCTTCTCGCTCTGGTACTGCTGTGTGACAAACTGCCATCATTGTAAGAAATTCACATATTATAGGTGCCGTTGGCTGTAAGAAATAAACATGTTAGGCCTCTTCATTTAAACATTCTGACAGTAACAATAGCAATATTACTTCACGTCTATCAACAGTGTAGCTGTTAAATGTTGTGGGTGTGAGGTTATAGCTAAGAAGACAACATCTATTACAAAGAAAAAATATTTTTAACTAAAATTTTCAGTCTCACACTCTCTCATTGATTTCTAAACATTTATACAAGACAACTCCGTGATGTCAAGTAGAAATAGTACAGAAAAAAGGGGGATATGGTCAAACACTATGCTCATAAGACAGAAGAGAAATTCTACACTGTTCATTTACCTGCTCTAATTCCCAATCAGATATAAGTTTTAGGTGTCTCATCTGTGGCTCCGTCACTGTTTTGGGTTGGGTGATGGACGATGGCAGGCGACTCTTCTGTAATGCCTTGTCCTCCCTCTCTCCAAAAATGTCAACCTTAACCTGACTTGTTTTACCAAATAAAGAAACGATCGAGCAATTCCTATCTATAATGGGCTTGTATGGGCAGAGCTTGGTGTTTTTAGAAGAAAAGAAGCCAGATCTCTTAAATTAAATGTCTGCCTGGCTGGCTTCTGATGAAGAAAAATGTTATTCATAGTAATAAAGAAAAATATTTCTCTCTGTAGTTGGACAAAAAAACAAAACAATACAAAACAAAACAAAAAAGAAGTGAAGTGATTGAAAAACTGAATCAAACATTATTTGAGAGAACTGTTAAGGCTATGGCTGTAGAGAAAGGAGACATGGTTCCTGCCTTGGCGAAATTTTGACTTACGGGGAAAACAGAACACAGATAAAAAACATACAAATACTACTTATTTATAGAGTGAAAAAGGGCTACAGAGAAGAGCATATGCAAATACATGTAATGTGATTTGGGTGAGTTTGTGGTTGTTTTCAAGATAATGTTATATTGAGGCTGATGAGGTTTTTGCCTCATAAGAAACTGAGCAGCTAGTCTTCCACCATGCAGACACCAAAGATGACTGAAAGATCTTAAAGAAGGAAATAATGAACCATGTTTGAGAGCATAAAGGAAAGCTAACGTGAGAGCGAGGAGGGAGGAGTGGCTTCAACCGATATTCGTGACTTAGGCTGGGGCCAGATTGTGTAGCTTTGTAAGCTAAGCGGGAAGCCAGAGAGTGGTTTCAAGCAGGGCAGTGATGGCGCTTGATTTCTATTTGCATCACTGCAGTTGTCTTGTGCAGTCAGAATTGGGAGTAAAAAGGGGAACAAGGAGAATGGTTAGGAGGCATTACGGTAAACCACACATGGCATGCTGGTTGTCTGGACTCGGGTGGTGAAAGTGATAACGAAGTGAAGATGACATCCAGGATATATTCTAGAAGTCAGTATGGACAAGGACTTGGTGACTCTATTGATCTGGAGACAGAGGGACAAGGAGGTACCAAAAGCAACCCTGAAGTCCCTAGAAAGAGCAGTAAGATAGGTGATGGTGTAGCTTACTAACTAACCCAGAGAACACAGGGAAGAGGAGGTCTGGATCTAGGTTCTGTGGGTGCTGACGCTAATATTTTATTGAAGGCTCTCTTAAGAAAAAAGGATAACAAAAATACCCATATGAATATACTGTCAGAGCTCCACCTGGGGGCACAGGTGGTATGTTGTGGCAAATGAGTGTGAGTTCCAGTTTTCACATATTGAGCTCGAAGCAACTGTGTGTAAAAGTTCTGGGGTTTAAACTCCAAGAAACCCTATCATGTGATCTGATGAAATTTTAATGTGTCAATAACTTCATAAAGATGTCCACAGTTCTCACTGTATAGACTTTCACTGGCCTCTCATTTTGAGGCAGTAATTCATTTCTATAGATATTCTGAAATTATTAATAGTGAATCATTTCAAATAGGGTTCTAATATTATTTAACATGAAACATTTTGAAAAGATAGAATATTGATAATGATAATATTAAAACTAAACATCTAATAATTATGAATCAATGTTGACCAAGAAAAAAACAGCAATAGATTTTGGAATCTATTAAAAATAGTTATAAAAATAAAAAAACAAACATGGAAGATAATTCAGAGAAATGCTCATTAGTTTTTACTCATTAATTAGAATATAATGACTTTATGTCACTTACATGATTATTTTGGAGATTTTCCAGCAGTGATGAATCACTAAATGTTTTTTCATCTCCTAACTGTGAGCTCTGCCTAAAGAGGAAAAAAATGGAATGAACCTGATTTATTTATAGCAACTCACTGATATATTTGCAACTTTTAAAATATGTCATTAGGCCTGCAAACACACCTAATAGATTAAACATAATTTAGATTACATTACTGAATAAGTCATCACAGAGTTAATGATTAAATCATAATATGTTTTTATGCATTGTAAAATGTGACAGACTTATGTAGTATAATAAAAAATAGTATTTCATAGTTCATTTTCCTGGCATGAAATTATATTATAGTCACACGAAGTTTTAAAAAATTAATTTAAAAAAATGTAACAGAACTGCTTAAATGCCTGGAATTTAATTTCTTCTAATTCCATTATTTTTTTTGTTTTAGGAATTCTGAGAATAAAGTTATTATTAAAAACAATATTGAGTAACATTTTTACCATAGCCTATAAGATATCTTTATTTGTAGTGCCTAATACTACGTGATTATCATATGAAATATAAAAATATGAATGAACTGTTTATATCTTTTATCACCACTAATAATTATCTGATATACTTACAAACATATCACATTTGTTCTATATATTGTGGAGCACAAATCATAAAAGTATGGGATTCTTTTGTGTGGTAGCTATCTTCGGATCAGCAAACATTATGTACTTCATAAGAAACAACTGGAGTCAGAACGGTCTCTGTGATCTAGCTATTATTAGTCTCATAGTAATGCAATTTAATATAAAAATGTTGAGATTCAAAGGAAGAACACAGACCATTTAAGTGGAAATATTAAACCCAAAGGCTATACTTTGCAATATTCAGAGAAAATATAAAGCTTTAAGCTTTTGTACACTGGAGAAAATTTCAGAATTACTTCACTGAAGGAAAATATAGGTCTGATATTACATGATGGTAATCCAGAAAGATTTTAATAATTTTTACAGGTTACAAAGAGCATTATCAATGTTAATGTGCTAAATATCAGGAGTTTCATATTTGAAAGCCAGCAGTTTAAAAGGAAGAATCACTGAAGAAAAAAACATTTGAAATAACTGAACATACCCTATATCCTCAATGACATATATTTTCCCCATAAAACAAAGGAGGAAGTTAGAATGTTTATAATAAAATACATCTTCATTAACATGTAGTAGTTTAGAATTCTCAGAACATCCCCGGGAAGCAGAATGAACACATTAGTTAATAATAATTATATTATAATAATAATTAGTATTCCTCCTCTTCTTCTAGTTTTAAAGATAGAAAGAAAAATCCAATAATTTTTAAATGACATTAACAGGCAAGCCAAACAATTTAGCATATGTGTCTCCTCAAAATACTATCATTTCTTAAAAACAGTTTAGTACTTGGTGTTCCATAAAAACTTCCTATTGTTGAAATGTATTAATTAATTGTTCTTAGTCATACTTTCCTACTTATTTGTTAGATAAATTGAAATGTCAAAGAACATTCACATAACATCTTGTCTATGGTCTATTTTCTTTCCATACGATTCCAGATTGAAAGCCTTTATAAATCTGAAGATATGTCTTATTAATCTCACCAGTAATTCTTTCATTTTCTATATTATAGCTACCATAATTGACAAAACTTTCAAATGTATTTACAACGAATAATACTAAATGTGCAACTGAAATATTTACATGGACACATTGCCACCTCCATTCACCAAGGAGGGCTTCCACCATGGATAATGCTACGTAAGAACTCTTCTTCTGGAAAGTGGCTTCCTTTCCAAAATCATAAAACCATAAACAACTCATCTGCTAATCACATGGACTGGGTTGGACAACTCAGGCATTGAGCTGTCCCCACCCCTCTCCAAAATCTCATACAACATTCACTTTTAGTAAATGTAGACACAGATAAAACTAGGAAATGCATGTCACTTCAAAGTAAGAACCAATTGCATTAAAAGTACAAGTAATACGGCTTTAAACAATGAGTTGACAAAACTATATGAATTTGCAAACTGCTCACAAATCAAAATGCAAGCCAACAGCAATGTTTTGTTAAATTTTTCCAGGGAAATTTTCAAGTGGCACTTTGCTCACCAGGAGAAAAAGAAATTATGGTGTTTTGCAAGAAGCAATAAGGTAGGGAACGGAACATCAAGGAAGGTAACAATGAGCAGGTACCCCACAACTTATTACAATTTGCTGATTCTTGCAGCTTGATTTAAAAACTATGATACACTGTCAATAACTATTTCCTGATCATACAAAAATGAAGAGTCCCAATAGCAATAGAAGTTGACAGGAAGTTCAGAATGCAGAGGGCTTAATTGGTATTAGCTATTTTCATACATGACTGGATGGACTATGACGTTTTTTAAAATCCAAAATTTATGTCAATGAGAGTCACCAGAAATAAAGAAACAAAAGTTGGACTGACCCTTTCATCTTAAACCAAAATAAACTTGAGATGGATGAATACACTAGTAAAAGTACTAAAAGCATGGGAGAATTTAAAAAAATAAATTAGGTGTAGAAAATGCCTAAGGTGTCACATATAATTCAGAAAACCAAACAAATCTGACTGCATAAAGGTACAACATTTTTTCAGAGCAAAAACTACTGCAAAGTCAAAAGCTAAATGACAAATTGGTAAAAGTTATTTTCAACTCATATATGGAAGGCTAATACTGATAAAGTAAAAAGAACTCAGGAGTCAACAAGAAAAAGATCAACAATGAGCAGAATAATGAGCAAAGGATATAAACATACAGTTCATACAGAAGGGAATGCAACTGGCTTTGAATATAAGCTCAACTTTACCCCAAAATGAGAGAAATTACATTTAAATATGACAGAAATAAAGGTTTGACAACTCTGTGCTGTCATGATTTTGGAAAAAGTTAAATCATATCTTATTGGTGAAGATGAAAATGTGTTCAACTTCTTCAAAGGACAATTGGGCAATTACTACCAACATTTAAAATGCATGTATCTTTTGATCTAGTAATTTCAGTTCTGGGAATTTATACTAATTATCTACCTGGTGCAAAATGCTGTATGCATTCATTATTTGCCTCACATTTTTAATAGCAAAAGATTAGAAATAACCCAAGTTCTATCAGGGATGTTGCTTTAAAAAATTGTTAGAACATCCACATAACAGAACACTATAGAAAAATGGGTAGTCATTCATGGAATATGGACAAATCTCAAGGATGTACTGTCAAAAGAAAAGCTGGTACAAAACAGCACAATATGCCTCCCTTTCTATAAAAGTATGAGAGAAATAGTACATGCACGTATAAATCTGGAAGAATACACCAGGAATTGGTTACATTGGCTGCCTTCAGAAGGGGAAACGGAGGGGTCTCAGACAGCGAAGGCAGGCAAACTTCTCCCTCTGCACACCCTTTGAGTTTGTGACGTGTTAATACATTGCGAACTTAGAAAATAAATCAAATTTAAATTAAAGACAGGGACAAAATCTGTGTCAGCCACCTGAAACATATACACACCCCACATATAAATTAAATGTATATATTACACACCTACACACAGTACACACATGCATACACAGGAAGCCAAAAGGCAGTGTGATTGTAAAACACTTTATTTTTTGAAAGGATCTGCACCTCCTGCTTTTGAATGGTTCTACTGGTTCCAAGTCAAAATTCCTTAAAGGAAGACTTAATTTTTACAAATAAATTTGTTATTCAGAGACAGGTCTCCTAAAGTTCAAGGATATGAACAAGTGATTGGATCCAATAATATTTTTGTTGGACAATGGTTTTATCCAAAGTAATGAGATCTGCTTTTCCATGTGGCCTGCAGTGTCTCCAAAGGCAATTACAAAGGAGGAGCTCCAAGACACTGTCTGAAACAGCTCCCTCACCGGAACACAGAAATTACCCGTCAAATTGACAACTCTGAAGACTTAACACTAATTTGGATGCATTAGATCTCATTATTACGCAGTCACACCTGGAAAAATGTTTTAGTGAGCCTAGCTGTTACAGCAAAATAAAGAAATACCACTCATTTTACGTATGTAATTATATACCAGAATGAAATGAGAAAATAAAGGAGACTAGAAAATATAGTCTCCTTTATATGATAATGCTAAAAATCATGAAAATAAATGATTTTCATAAAATTATAAAAATCATGAAATAAATGACTAAGCACAGAGAACACTTGAAGGTAATCTTTGGGGAGAGTTACCCTTACTAGCATTAACTTAAAAAAAGGCTATCAGAATGAGTAATGTGGAACTATATTCAATAGTTAAGAAAAACAAAAATGTTATCTGGAATTTGCTTTAAAATAATAGTGAGGGAAAGGTATAGATTAATTGCAATCTGTATTGAGTGCACATTATTGAAGTCATACGTACATGTATGTTATTGAAGCAGATGAGTACATTTTTCTACTTTTGTTGATCTTAAAATTTTCTGCAAGAAACTTTAGAAAAAATGGACATGGAAATACATAGTTTTTGAAAATAGCCATATCTTAGGGCTACATGGATGCTGAGAATAAGCATATTTTTTTTCCCTACAGTGGTAGATTTTTAATAGAAAGAATTAATCCGTATGGTTATATGTTAGCTTATGGTACTTCATAATAACAAGAAAGCCCTAATAATTTTGAGTAAGTGGCTACTGGCTGGGAAATGATTTTATTTCTGTAAACTATTTGTATTAGTATATTTAAGCAAGTAGAGCTACCACCATTATCCAATTATCTTTAATGTCAAGAAAGCTTATTTGAAAGGGTTACTACATTATAGGTTTGCCTTCAAGTTCAACTGAATGTAAAATAACCTACATACATTTAAGTGTTAAATACTATGTGTTTTTTTAACTTGACATTTCCGTGGTAAATAACGGTAGTGCAGTAAAATAAATACATACAGATCACTGGTTGTATACGAGGTCTGTCCAGAAAAAGTCCAGCTATTGTTAATATAACAAGAATGATTTGCATGAAATCGATGTAACCTGGCAGCCAAGGAGAGTGGACTGGAGTGCACATGCGTGAACAATGGAGGCTTCATTCTACTTGTCAGTGGGGGCGTAGACGCCCTTGAGTGAGCATGTGTACTATGTGGCCGTCACATTAAAAATGAGTGAGTAGGGCAAAGAACCTGCATCAAATTTTGCATTAAGCTTGAACATTCCTCTGCAGAAACTAGTTAGATGATTCAGAAACTGCAGCTATGGCAACTGGATATTGGCAGCTTCATCTTGATAACATGCCCGCTCATGCATCACGTCTGGTGCAGTTTTTTGGTGAAACATCAAATCACCCAGGTGACTCAGCCCCCCTACAGCCCAAATTTGGCACCCTGTGGCTTCTAGCTTTTGCCAAAACTATAATCACCCTTTAAAAGGAAGAGATTTCAGACTGTGGATGAGAATCAGAAAAATACAACAGGGCAGCTGATGGCACCTGGGAGAACTGTGTGAGGTCCCAAGGTGCCTGCTTTGAAAGGGATTAAGGCGTCATTGTCCCATACACAATGTTTCTTGTATCTTCTTCAATAAATGTATCTATTTTTTAATAGTACACGGCTGGACACTTTCTGGACAGACCTTGTATACAAAATTCAATGAACTTCACGTTGAAAAGTGAACCTGCTGACAGACAGGAATGAACTTTAAGGTTTTGATTTATACAGTCATCACACTCCGTAGTTTACCCCCAAAGGCCAGCGGCACGAAGATGTGGTGAGATGCAGGGATTCCCCCAGGATCACACTTTTGCTTCTGGTTTCACTGTTAACACGAAACCAGTCAGATGAGGTTGGGGACAGGCCAGCTTTATGCACGTGCAAATTGTTCCCCCTGTGCTAACTTTCCTCAAGTCAGTTTCATCTCACCTGCTCTTCCTACCTTAACAAAACAAGAAAGGAATAAAGAAAATGACAAGCAGCAAAGATATCTGGAGCTCCAAAAGCAGTTACTTTCCAAAGTTGTTGCAAGTCTCTAAGATGCAATGTGAGCAGTACCTGCTTTATAACCAGACGGAGTGAGGCTTTAACTCTGGCTCCCCTGTTTACTGGTTGTATAGTTTGGGGCATGTTACTTACTAGTTATTTTGCCTAAATTCTACCAACTTTAGAATAGTCAGGTCCATCACAACTCCTCAAGTATGTCAGGAGGATGAAGTAAGAGACATCAGAGCAAACATTCCCTGTGAGCTTACTATGTCCCAACGTGATTCTAAGCCCTTTAGAAAAAGAACTCACTCAATCTTCACAACTTCCCTATGATGTCCACATTTTAGTAGATGAGGACATGCAGGAGAAGTATCAAACAGCTTGTTCAAGTGTACCAGTAGGATCAGGATGTGAACTTGGGTGGTTAGAATTCAAAGTCTGCATCCTTGACCCTGTGTAGGACCCGAGACACAACAGAAGCTCAAAAAGTACCTGTTCCTTCATCTTTGCAGGCCTATACTTGAGAGATGGTGAATCCAAGCATATTTTACATTTACACTTAAAGCTTACTTTATTATAAAAGTGGCAAAAGCCTCCCCTAGTTTTTACTTCAAAAAATATCATTAACATCTAAATTTATATGTAACTGCAAGTGGAGATGCAAAATTTATGAAAAAGCTGACATTTTTTAATTTGGAGTTACCTAGTTTAGAATATCAAATTTCCCAAAGGATGCTCTACAAAAGGAACTTATTAAACTAGATAAAATAACATCCTCTCTTTCCAACAATGATAAAAGCTATGAAACAACCTCTATCAAAAGTATGATATTTTCAATGACATAAATAAACAATAACCTTTACCATTTCCATTCAATCCTAATAACAATATGGTAAAGGTAATTTCCTTCTCTTAAGAATAAATGAGTTATCTTAGAAAATGTATATTAATTCTACATTAATGAAGTGATTAAAATTAATAGAATTACCTTGATGTTACAGAAAAGCAACAAATAAAAAGATACCATCAAAAATTTTAACTATATTTTTAAAGGATTAAATAAAAGTGAATATCTACACCATTAAACTGGAATTATCCATCAGCAGAAAGAAGCTTTGGCACATTTTTAAAAATATTAAAAATTATTCAGTTGTCTCTAGGTGTTCAAATACATGATACTTCAAGCAATGAGTTTAAATGGAAGGATTCAACAGTTGTCACGTGAACCAAACAGCTGGCCGTGTCATTAGCCCTTAGGTACAATGAGGTTTACTGCAAATTGTTACAGTCTCCATTTTATTGAAATAAAATCCAAGTTGAAAAAAATTAAACGATGTTATTCGACTTCCATACACATCAGAATTGGTTTCATCATAACAATTATGTATAACCTGAAAATAAAAATGTAATGACTTTTATAGCCACAATTTTTCTATAGTTACCAGCATTAAAAGAACCTGTTTGCCAAAATTTCATTTGCCGCAAAATCATGATGAACTATAAAAATATCGAAATAAATTTATACTATCGTAAATGAAAATTTAAATCCATGGAGGAGGCATTTTATTTTATTTTTAATTAAAAAAAAAATTTTTGTAGGCAGGATTTTTAAGTAAAAAAGCCCGAAGTATTGACATTAAGCCTGTAAAATGCCATCTTTAATAATTCTAAAATTAATTACATTCCAGTTAACTCCAATCTTTGGTAGCATAGTCTTTCACCATTTTTTCCAGACAGTCGATTTTTTAAAAGTTCATTTTCTAGCCTCCAAACAGATTTGGTAAATTAATGAAAAGAAATGTAAAGGAAATTTCCACAGCTTGGGTATGTTTTCATCTTTTGCAGATTTGCAGAGTACGTACAGAGTGGCAGAAGGTGGCAATGCTGAGCTAAAAAACATCAAGTTTCCAGAGCTGTAACAGAAATCTTAGGTGGTCCACAGCCCAGGGACCCCACGTTGATCATTACAGACTTTATCAGAGGTACATAATGGAAAACTCTGACAAGCCTAACCTTTAAACTGAATGCTAATAAAATGACCAAAGGTTATTAGATGAATTTCAACAACCACCTACTTTACAGCACGTTACCATATCTGATCAGTAATGCTTTTTTCAAAAGTAGTGAAATGTGTCTAACAAAACAAGAAAATGCAAAGCCTTTTTAAAGGGCTCAGTGAGAGAGAAAGGTCCGTGCAGCTTACCATTCGTCAGGGGAGCAGCCATAATCCTCGGGCTCGGGGACATGGCTTCGGGAAGCAGAAAGAGGGACAGAAAGAGGAAAAAGAATCACAGCAAGGCTGGCAACATGAAAGTGTGCATAAGGGAACAACAAAAAGATGGATCTTAAAAACAGTTAACATGAATTTTTAGCTGATTTGGAAAGAATGGCAGTTAGTAGAGTAAGTAGAATGATGATTCTACATCAATGAGCAGGTTACAAAGGCATTCTATAACTGGAGAGCCAACTTGCCTCTTCAACATGAAATTTACTGATTTTATGCACAGAATTCAGTATTCAGTAGGAAACATTTAAACTTAGCAGTTTAACTCTATATAAATCAATGGAAAATCAACCACATGCTATATAATCAGAATAAAGTGTTTTGACAAAACAAAGATGCTAAATGCCTAGGAACAAACTAACACACTGGTAAAATTTACTTTAGAAATAAATTTGGCTATCATGAGGTTCCTTAAGCGGGCATATTAAAGTAAAATTAATTACATTGATATAAATTAAATGGAACCGCATTTTAAGACTAACTTATTTTCAAAAAATTTCACTTAAACCATAATTCAATTATGAAATCATTTATTATCTCAAACAGAAAGCACATTCATCAATACTTCATTTCATCCATCAGCTTATGTGAGCACTAGGAAAGTTTGATTGACGTTCAGCTTTTATTTTAACCAGCCATTCATATTCAGTCAGAAGTGGCCTTTTATATATTATAGCAGATTTTCTTTTATGTATGTATGTATTTATTAAATTTATTTTTATTGTTCACATTCCCCAGTTTTATTGAGATAAAATTGACACATGACATTGTGCTTAAGGTATACGCACAAAGTGTTGATTTGATACATTTTATATATTGCAAAATGATTACCACCATAGCATTAACTAATGCCTCCATCACCTCATGTAATTATTATTTCTTATCTTGTGGTGAAAACATTTAAGATTTACTGTCTTAGCAACTAGAGAAGATTTTCTTATCTCCCATTTCTTTTGTTATATATGTCCATTCAATCTCCTTCCTTTAAATTAAATATTATTCGATATAGGTAGATTTTTAAAAAATATGCCCAGTTTAGTACAAATGTAAAATCGTTATTTTTGACAAATGTACAATTGACCCCGTTGGGATCCCTCCTTTCACTCCAGAGTGGCCACCCCACTGTCTCTACCCTTCCCAACGGGCCGCGGCGTAGCCTCAACATTCCAAGGCACCAGTCTGGCTCCAGCGTAGGACCTGCCCTCCTCACGCCAATTATGATGGAGGTGGTCCCTTTAACCCCCCTCGCTACTCTCTCTCCTACCAAAGGACTTTTGTAGAAGCTTGAGAGGCAGGGCTAACTTTCCCCTTGTGGGATAGACTCCCAGAAGAGGTACTGGCCTACTGCAGTGTTTCAGGCAATCAATTCCAACCAACGTCACGGCTTGGACTCCAGGCTAGACGAGGCAGGGGTGCGGGGGTTTGCTGCACGAGCAAAAACACTGAGCCAAGGTTCTGCCAAGCTGCACTGGTAGTGAACGAGCAGCCCCCGATCTCACACACCTGACTTGCTCCTTAAGCCAGGCGGCTTAAAAACTGCAGAGCTCAAGGCTCAGGGTCCCTCTCCCCGAGTCTGGTCCAGCCCTGGCATATGCTGAGTGCTGTGCAGGGTGATGAGCAGCAGGCTGCCCACCACACACCTGCCACTGATCCTGTCTGCAGGGGCTTCCCAGCGATCGTGTGCCTGTGCTGCCTGGCTGTCTGCCTTTGCTTGCATGTCAGTGCTGTTATGTCTGCCTGGTAAGTTCTTCACTTAGACCCATTCTTAGGTGTCAGCTCCAGTATCACTGTCTCAGGGTGCAGTCCCTGACCTTCCGATTACGTCAACCCCAATCACAGACTCCCATAGACCTTTGTCTTGTGTTAGGATCTTATATTGGTCTGTGTGATTCCTTAATTAACACCCATTAACCCCCAGTTAGATGATCAGCCATGGGGGGTGGGAATCACGGGAACTTTTGCTGATCATGACAGCCCCACCATCTAACAAAGTGCTACATACACAGAGGGAGATTAACATTCACTGAGGTAGGTGAATAAGCAGATTCCGAATGTTCACCCAGCTTTCACCACCAGTCGAGGTGAGCAATAAAATAAATTTGTTGGTTTTAGTCTAGATTGGGGGCTAAGCATTAAGGTTTATTGTGAGGTTTCCCACAATGAATCTCTTCTTGGTGTTAAAGCAGTTGGTCCTTTCAGCAAACTTATTGCTAAAGAAAATATTGTCAAGTAAAGCCATTCATATACTATATTCATACATAAAGACTGCTTTTAAGAACATTCATTTTTCACTTAAAGGGAAAATGTCTACGAAATGGTTTTAACACTGATTAAATGACTTTCTGACACAAAAATCCCTGTTTAAGTTTGCTTAATGGATTTTTTTTTTTTAACTTTAGAGATTATATACTATTCAGCCTAGTCTAGCTTGTCAGCTCATTTGAATAGAAGGGCAAATTATTGACAAAGATGGTACTGAGATTATAGCCTAGAATATTCACTATATTGAGAATCCTAGTCATTGAACATAAAAGTTTCTTACCTATTCCTGGCATTCAAGTAACTGATAAATATGACTTATTCTCTACAGGAAGGAATTTGCTATACTTTAATTGATTAACAGTAGCATATCTAGTTTGTAAAGGGTTACATTTTTAAATGACATCATAATTCATTTACATTTAAAAAGATCTAATAAATTTAAGCATGTTGGTGTCTCTGATATAAACTTGATCTCTACAAAATAATCATGGTCTGTGTGTACAAATCTTTTTATTTCATTGTCTATCACAAATCCAATTTGGAGCAAAGGTTACCTGAAATGAGAGAAACTTAAAGAGTAAATTTTGAAGCATTGTTTTAAGAGCAAAATACCATCTTCCAACACTAGGCAAAGGTTATACTATCAAGGGACTTCCCCTTGTCCTTCAAACGGATAAAAACAAGAGAACTGACCTTTGACTCTCTAGGGAAAACCAAGGCTTTATCTCATTTGTGAAACATGTTGAAAAAGCATCAGCTCTGAAATTGTAGCCCCAAAGGCATTTGTTAGTATGTGAAAGTTTGTGTTATTCTCCTTTGTTTTGCCATATCCCGGGGGAATGAACACCATGTTTTCTTCTGCTGGAGCTGGAAGTCCACCTACCTAATAGTTTCCCATATTAAACAAGCGTTAAACATTGCTATGGGGCAAATGGGTACTTAAAGCATGTTATTTCCTTGTCTGGACTCCAATAACCCAAGAGCGCCCAGAGGAAATTCCCACAGAGAGCTGGCTGACAGTAATTACTTTTTCCTGTGGAGTTAGGGAGAATTAAGTAACGGTTTCTCTAAAGCTTTGATTATGAACAACTCTCTACAATGCTGACATTCCTATTGTCCATCAGAATGTTTGGAGGGTGTTAATAAAAACTCAGTCAGGGTTAAGGATCCTAAAATCACATACACAACCAATACATGACTATTGGAAGCAGTTTAACAACCAGCCTCACTTAACTTCTGGAATTTGTGAAAGCATAATACAGCACTACAACACCCAAAGAAGAAACACATTTCTGGTTATATAGTTAAAATTTAAAAACAAAGGAACACCTGTTTGGTTTTTTTTTTAATTTGTAAAGATGTTAGAATTTTATATCTGGGAAAAAATCTTAAAGATCATATGCTTTTGTGATAACTCCAGAACCGAACTCAGATCAGTGGGGGTCAACCAGGAACAAAGGGATTTAGAAAATTTGTACTTTTCCTGGGACCCCTTTGCTGACTACAGTCCCCACCCACCTCTTCACTTCACCCTTCTCCCTTCGCTTGTTATATAATAAGAAGATAAAATAAGAAGAATATATAATAAGAAGGCCTGAATTTTGAGCTCTATTAGGATTGATTTGAGAATTAGTTCTCCCACCTCCTCTAGTTAGGCCTTCTCGATCAATAAACCCTTCCTTGCTCCAAACCCTGGGGGAAAAAAATCATTTGCTCTTACCATGTTCATTTTAAAGGGTTTGGAATATTAGCAAAGAATTATTCAGAGTCACATTGTGAATTACTGACAAAGCTACAACTATAACTCATGTTTTATGACTACACCTTGATATTCAGACAGGTTAGTTTCCTGAGAAGAAATTTGTTTCACTGAAACCTTAATCTAAAATGATGACAATTCTTAACTCTAATACTACTTTAATATTCACCAGTCTCAAACCCACTCTATCGTAATGCAGTCAAGGGCAGTATCACCAATAGATACAGGAAGGACATTATTCTTTAGAACTACTGCTTCCAAGTGTCTGAGGACTTGTTCCAAGAACTTAAAAACAAAACAAAACAAAAACAAACAACCCTGATAAAATGCAGAAGAAAAGAGTACCTAGATATCATTCCAGCTCTCTGTTCTGAGCAGTTCACCACCAATAATTACTAACTTGAAAACTTGATTATTCCATTGGAAATTGGACAAAGTTAAAAGGGATGGTGATTATCAAACAGATCACTCTAATAATCATATTTGTGAATGAATGCAGATTTTGTGTGAAAACAAACATCACCATAAATCTACCAGCAAGTATCAGACAACGCTCTAGAATCTCAACAGATCTTTCCTTCTCTGGTCAGAGATTACTGTGGGTCTAATATATACAATGTCCAAACTGGGCCCGCACCTGTCCCCCTCCAGCGCTGACCAGAGAGTGAGGCGGGTAGCTATGTCCAGGTTGGAGCAAGGATGGGCTCTTTGTCTAAGATTATTAGGAGATCTTCAGATAAAGAGGGAAAAATGCACAATGGCACCCAATCCTAGAAACAGTAAGTATGTTTCTCAAGTTAACATCCTGGCTTTATCATGTGAAAAAGCCATTCAACCAAATGTCTTTTTAGCTTAACAGTTTGAAGCCATTTTTAGTCACATTAACTCAAAGAACAAGGACATCTGCCTCTATCTATTTCTCTTTGTAGACCCTGTGTATGGGAGTAACTATACATTTTTATAATTTTATACCACATGGTTATTTACTTATGATTTTAACTAAGGCATTTTCAAAATTCAATACACTATTTTTATACTGGCTTAGTGTCTGGAGACAGAGCGTGCGTGGGAAGAGTGGCTACACGACAGACAACCCCAAAGCAAGCCTCCTCGCTGCTGTGGTTAAGGGGTTGATATTTACCAGTCTCACTTGTGGATAAAGGTGGTAGGAAAATTTGGTAATAGGACCATTCAGACCACAAGGAGGCTGTTTCATTTTTTGATCCTGTCCTTTTCGGAAATGTAGAAACTAATTTTCTCACTTTACCCTATAAAGTATTTCAAAAAGAACGTTTTTGAACGTTTCAGGCAGGCGTACCTGGACATAAGAAATAAATGAGTGCTCAACAGCACAATCTTAGGGACATTAATGTCCTGATAAAAGTTGTTGATGATACTCACTATCCTCTGGATTTAAGAGTTTCATGTCTCTACTTCCTTCGCATCATCAGAAATTTAAATTGTTCTGTGACTGCAAAGAAGAGATATGATAAAAGAAAAAAAACCAAACAAATCAAAGGGCTAAGTATCAGAGAAACAACAACATTTTATAACGTGGGCACTTGCAAACAGTCCAAGAACAGACTCTATGTTCCTACCACATGCCAGCTGTACTCTGGCTTAATGGCAACACAGAGGGAAGTGCATGTGTACCACGTGGGAGACCCTGGGCAGTTCCAGACGCTGAAATATTACTGGGCAGCCCGCACCTCACAGGGAATTCCAAATGAAAAACAACGCCTAAATATAAAAATACAATACCACACATTTATGCTGAAACAACTGCTTTGGAGATTAAAAAACAACCTCCACTAAAAGAACTCTCAAAATGTACCAAGATGTTATTAGCACCAATTAAATGTGTACTTCACATTTTATTTAAAGGGAAAAAACTTACCCATAAGCAACTCCAGCTATGGTGCACTTCTTAAACTGCATTACATTGCAGGTCAGAGTACCAGTTTTGTCAGAAAATATGTATTTTACCTAAAAAAAAGAGTTTAAAATTTCTCACTAAAATTTCAGAAGTCTTTTTAAGCCACTCTCTTACAGGGGGGCAGGGGAAAACCGTTATTCTTTTTATCAAATTTGTTACATTGTAGGGGCACAATAGAATGCTATTAATTGACTTCTGTCTGCTTATTAAGGAATACATCCAACTAATTTCTTAGCATATCAGCAGTGATCCATTTCACAAATGAACATTGAAAACTATCAAGATATTAGAAAAACTATGATCATATAGGAATCTGTCTTAATAGCTCTGAACTTCCACTAGAAAGCGCCTTTGCAGCTCTGTGTTGTTTATGCAGCACCAGAACACCCATCAACACTTCTCCACAGGCTGAGGTGCCCAAAGGGTCCATTTAGTTTTCTCCGTAAAATAAAAGGCACATTTTTCATTTTCACAAACAACTTTATTGATTTGGATATTTTGAGTATGTCACTACCTCCTGCATTGTATAACACTGATTGTTCTCAAAATTAATGTTTCAATTTGATTGCTATCAATGTCAATTGGTTAACCTGGCTGTGGGGGCATTGTCCAGGGAGAAATACCCAGCACAAAACTTTGCAAACCACTTTTGACATGTTCAATTAGTCACAGCACCTTCTTTGTACACTGCACAAACCATTTTTTTGTGTTTCAGTTGCATTTTTACCTTTCTTAAAATAATAAAGCATAATATGCCAAAAATGTGTATTTTCTTCCATCTTCATATTAAAATGGATACACAAAAATTCACCAATTTTGATGCTTTTTAAAATGCACACTGATATGACAGCTGTCACAATACTATCTAACAAAATTGTTTTGAATGAATTTAAAGACAACTAAGCACTATTTGGGCTACCTTATGGAAGAAACCAAATAAATTTTTTGGCCAATCCAATAACAACTGAAGACTGGCAACAGCTTCTGAAATTAATTTCACAGAACATCTGAAGTGGTAAGGCAGAGGATAATTCTGGTCTACATGCTATTTGAAAAATAAGAGTTAGCAAATAGCAATGGTACAAAAAAAGAAGGGTCTTTTATTAGCCAGTACAGGGTGGGGCAATAGTAGGTTTGCAGTTGTTCATGTGGAAAATAATATAACAATTAATAAATAATAATATATGAATAAACTGTTACGAATATTCACAACTGTAAACCTACCTTTTTGCCTCACCCTCTGAATATAAACGGATTACAAATATACACATATGTATGAATACTGTATGGATTATAAATCTAAATTTCCTGTTTGACCACTATTACACTTCAACTTACATAACTTCATTGATCAATTTAGCTTTTTCTTCCTTTCTGGTTAAAAGCTATGAACAATTTTTAAACTGACAGTGTGTAACTCAAAACTGCCAATACGTTTCTACTTGTTAGATTAGATACTGAAGGACATCTCTCAGTGCAATACCTTATTTGAGAGCAAAATAGGCTTTAAATATTTTTAAACACTTACTAAAAATCAACATTCATAGTTATGTACTAACATGTATTTATGCTGATTATTCCACTCATGGAAAATTAGAAGCTGTCAATTCCTGTGAAGCTGTCATCTACGGCAGAAATTACAATGAGCCTGACTTCCATGTCAACACTTCAACGAGAACTTTCAATTACCTGGCCAAGCTCCTCATTCAGATTAGATGTTCGAGCCATAGCAGCAGTGTCTGTGGGTTCATAGTGCATGTCGAGATCCTTTTTTAAAAATAAAATAAGATAAGTTATTGTATACAATTGGTAATAAAAGACAGTGAAGTTTTATTTTAACTGGCAAGCTGTGTACATAATCATTCTCATTTCTTGCCATCCCTATTCCATTTCAGTCGATTTTCCCAAACAGAACTCAATGGAGAATATTATACTCCACAGCAAAGGCAGAACAGTGTGGCAGTTAGAACGTGTCTCTGGAATCAAGTGATCTTGATCTGCTATCATTCTACCATTTCCTAGATAGCGAACCAATTGTAGAGATTAAATACGATAATGTATTAAAGTGCTTCCTATGGTGTCTGACACAATGTAAGTGCTTAATTTGAACTAAAATACCAGCAACTAAATATTGATAAAGTAATTACAACTTCACATCCCTGGGAAAATAATCTAATGGATTTTATCTGGTTGAACTTTCTTGGCCAAGTTTCTTACACTGTATCTACTTGGAAGTAAAATGAGTGCATTCTCAAAACCCAAAGAAAAATGTATAGTTTTTGTACCAATTTGTACTTGCTTTGCACCCGGAATTATGACTATTAATCCTATAAAAATTAATACTTTCTATAATAGAACATTTTACTGACAAGTCAGAGTTGACTGATTTTCACATGTCAAATGAAAATATGGCCAAATCTGGCCTCTTCTGTATCTGTATTTTAGATCGCTCAATCTCATTTCTGAACTAGGCTGTTGAGCTTTAGGTGCCATGTTTTAAGAGGGAAATCAGACAACTGGGCAATGTTCAGAGAGGAGTAACTAGATTGGAGATCAGGTTGGCAATCACGTCAAATGAAGAACAGAAGGAGACAGAGGATATTTAGCTGAGAAGGGGATATGATAGACGAGCTGGCATGATAGTCAAGTTCAAATGTTTTACAAGGCCAGCATTTGGAAACAAGATTAGACAATTTTCATAAAAGATCTACTGGGCAGAACCAGAATCAGAAAGAGGCAGTGACCAATTTTACTTCCACACAAAGAATAGGCCGCGTGGTGAGGGAAGAGCGCTTCGGCCAGGAAAGTTACATAATCCCTGCATATAGAAAGGTGGTTGAAAGGCCTGCTGGGTTCACCCAACACTAAAATTACATAATCATTTCAAGCAAATATTATTTTTGAAAGTCCAAATAAAATAATAAAGCGATTGACCATTGGATTTTCACAATGAGTCACCTTATTTCTTATGGTAAGTGGGAAACCGTCAATAAGTTTTCACTGTATTTATACAAATTTTATTACAATGTTTCAATAACATATTTCCTGCACGAAGTGAGCTATGCTTGCAGCCCATTTGAGATTTCTAAATCACGCTGCTCTTTCACCACTGCATTGAGACTGACAGCTGAGGCGGAGCATTTACCATGGGAAGATAATAATCAGTTACTACAGTATCATCAGTTACAGTTTTTAAAATTCTAATATTGTTCATAGTAAAAAGCTCTTAGGTGATTTAAAAAGAAACATCAAAAGATAATACCGAAATTTCTCGAAAGAAAAGAAAAAGTAAACTTTCAGGCAGATCAGGCCTAGAGATTTACTTAATTTACATAAACTTATTAATTTTAATTTTAGTAAAAATAAAACTGAGCATGAGCAACGTATTTTATAAACAAAACATTTAGGAAACAGATGTCCAGCACATTTTCCCAAGATTTAAAAAAAAAATTTAAGGAAAAAAAAGAAAAAGAGGAAAAATTCAGGCACAGCTGAAATTGTTTATAGAGTGGTAAAATAAACTACCTAGATGTATAAAGCATGACAGACACCCTGGTTGTTACAAGTAGTGAACACAGTATTATTTTTATGGTGCTCAATTGTTTATGAAGCTGTCTGTTTTGTTGTGGAATTCCTTTGATCTATATAACCACTGGGAGATGCAGGTAAACCATATATATCATTCCTATGTGAGAGTCCAAGAAAATATGTCTCAAAGAAGTCAAGTGGCTTGCCAAAGTTCACACAGCTAGTAAATTACAGAACTACAACTACAATCCAGATATTTTAATGCCAAACCCCATGGTTCTCCTTTTCCCCAAGATACAATGTAACTTAAAATAGGTTTCCTGAACTAGAGACCTATTTTCTCCAGAGTCTGGTCTATACACTTGTGTGATATTGTGATGAGAGACTTTGTTACTGATTTTCATGTCAAATGAATTTATTATAATTATATTAGGCTCAAAAATATTTTGAAATATTATCTTACAGTCAATAAAAGGTAAAGTACAATTAAGGGTTTTTTTTTTTTCCTTTTGAGAGATCAAAAGATCCTATCAGAAAAAAAACAACATGTTTAGGGTGATAAAAACAGTAATAATTCATATTTACCCAATTTATGAAGTATGCCTGAGTAAATTTCACCACTTCTAATGTTACCAACAAGCTGATAGGAATGAGATTGTTGAAAAGGATGATGAAGGTCAAGAAATTCAGCCCAAAATTATTAGCGCCACCATCTATTGGGGAAGGTGGGAGGAAAAACATTTATAGTTTTATATTTTATTTTGCATTGACCAGAACTTTAAGCATAACAAAATTTTTCCATATAGTACAGCATAACATACATAGTTTGGGAGGAATACTGTGTTGATAACATACCCTTATTCTCAAATACATTCTTCAAGAGGGAACAGCATTTTTTGTGTTCAATACGTTGTTAATCCTACTAAGAACTGCATAAGGGTACTAAAAAGTGAAAGTACTGTCAAGTATTTCAAATTCTGTTCCAAACACAAAGTTTAGAGATAGGAGAGACATGACTAAAAGTTTATAAATGAAAAATCTTAACTGGGTAGAAGTAGTTTTATATAAATTGTGAAAAAGCATTTCCCATTTAAAGCATGCCTTAAAAGCAAATATACAAAAGAGTACCAGCAAAACTAACCCAAATAGCAAAAACAATGTAGGGCTAGAGCCCAGGTAAATTCCACCCTAGGTAAATTAAAGTCTTCCTCTTCAATAATGAAAATAAAACAGTTATTCCAGATGCACTGTAAAGTATATGAAGAAACAAATTGATGGTGGTTTTAACAGTTTTAAAGTTGAAATAGTAAATCAGTGACTGTTAAAAAACCCTCAAAACTTAGAATAGCTGCAAAGCCAAATCAGTGTAATAAAAGAACAACTAAAACAATAAATTTTGCCATAAGATTTTACTATAATTTGTCTTCACACTTCTGAAAATTAAGTATTTTATTGGTTGAGGACTCATCAAACGGCAGTGCAAACTTACTTCCCAGAAACATTCAGGGGTGGCACATTATTCTCACAGTAGTAAAAGGATACATGCTCCAAAAGGAAACTGTCTAATAGCACATGCCCTAAGACAAGGTGATCATCAACACAGAATTCACTGCAGTCATGAGTTCAAATGAAAGTCCATTCAATTTAAACATTTTAAAAACATGTAAACTATTTTTGGTGGTTTAAATATATACTCAGCCTGCTTTCTTTACCAGACATCTATCTAACTTCCTGTATTAAAATGTTGTTTTAAACAAATTAATAGCATTAGTGAAACTAAGATTAATAAAATAACATTTTATAGTACTATGAGTGCTTATTATATTTTTAAGGATTCTGAAATTATTTAATTATTCAGATTCTGGGGAAGGGGGGAGGGAAAGGAAGAGAGAGAAAAAGAGAGAGAGAGAGGAAGAGAGAAACATCAATGTGAGAGAATTATTGATTGGTTGTCTCACACAGATGCCCCGACTGGGCACTGGTCCTGCAATCCAGGCATGTGCCTTGACTGGAAATAGAACCCATGGCCTTTTGGTGCCCAGGGTGACGATCCAACAAACTGAGTTACAACAGCTGGGTGGACTGTGAAAGTTTAGAGATTCTCCACTGTACTTAATTTTACTGGAAACTGCATTGAAAAGTATAGACTAAATGTCCAGTTATCTTGGCAAAGATGTTTTCTTTTAGAAATAATAGGAAATTCCAAGAGCGGCTATGAAACAAATACATGTTTTAATGAAAGAAAAAAGGTCAATAAGCATTTGAATGCTCACAGTTTAGATTGAGGTACCAGTCCTTTCCAGAGTGCCTTCGATTCCAAATAGCTGAGCCCACGGAACAGACAAGGGACATGGCAATTAAGATACAAAATAAAATCAAAATTTGCACATTTGTAATTCGTTCCACATTTGAGAGTTTAAGTGGTGGACTTGTCGAATTCTATAAAAAAAACAACACAACAAGATTAGTAATAAGAACTGCGTACAATGATTTAGTAACAGGTATCTAGCATATTGATGAGCATGACAAAGTCCTCATCAAACTCAAAATCTAGATGTGAGTAGACATCAAAAAATTGTGCAGGTAACAATCACAGATGTAACAAGCTGTCAAAGGTTAACTGCCTCTTTTCCTAAGGACCACTATGTCACCTAAGCCTTTTTCTAGGATATAAAACAATAATAAGAGAAAGAAATAACATTCCTTTTGTAAACACAGCTTTTGCATTGTGGAATGTAAGGTGAACAATGTACTACCAGACTACTTAAGCAAACAGGGTGGACCAGAGGCACCCATCTTGCATCTCTGCTTTGGAAGAGAGGCAGAGAAGGGCCTGTGAATCCACAGCCAGAGACCTGGAAATTCCAAAGTATGAAGGCAAAGTTATAGGATAACTGTGTTCTGAACTCTTGGTGGCATCTGGTAATTGTTATTACTGAACACAGCAGCCATAAGCAATCCCAGCTATAAAGAATAACAGAGACAAGTTTCTTCAGATGTATTTAATAATAAAAAATGATTATGCTGAATTGTTGCTAACCAAGGCATCCACAGGACACAAAATAAATCTGTCATAATCAATATAAAATATGGAGTCAATACAGAATCTCCAGACTCAGTAGGGGTAGAATCATTAATTGTAGTCCTGCTTGCCTGGTGATCACATCTTCACGCCTTTACAATGTACAAAGTTATCAATCAGTCCTTAGAGGAGATTTTCATGTAGTTTCTTAAAACTGACTTCCCCATACCCACGTAAACACTTGACACTGATGATATTGTACTATAAAGAAGGTGCATCCACAGGCATGGGGAAACACTGCAAGTGGCTAGGATTAAAGTTGATTAAAAATGGCTTAACATAAATATGCTATGAAACAACGGTCAACATTTGAGTTACAAGTTTTTCTTTTAATTTTATGAAAAAATGAAAAGTTCTAAAATTCGATCTCTGTATTAAAATAAAATTCTAAGACAAAAACGTTAATGCAAAGCAGTCTTAATTACACAGATGACTTATGTCTAGCGCTGCAATGGTTAGTAAATGCTGTCAATGGACCGATAATGCAAGATCTCTGAGAGTCCACGCACTGGGTGATCTCGGGCGAAACACTCCCATGTTCCGTGTGTGGTGACCTACTGCGCAGCGCACTCACCCAAGAACGAGATTCTGAAGTACAGAGTGGGGCTCCGGCGTCTGGAACAGATGGTCTGCTTTGTTTGGGACCGCTGAACTGAAAGCCAGCAAATAGCCCATTTTCAAAGGATTTAAGTCCAAGAGATAGATAAAAATCTCACCTGCATCAGCTTGGTGTCATGTCCAGTGTAGACAACGATTCCAATGACCCACTGTGTATTCCTCAACTGAGCGCCTCGAAGGAGAATCTGGTCTGCCCCCAGGGGAACAGTGCTACGACAGATGATGGGGACATGAGAAGCGGAATTTTCTAAACTGCTTCAGAATTCCAAAAAAGGCCGTTACTAGAACAACCCTTCTCGCGTTTACTGTATTTTTAGAAAAGAAGTGATTTTTCTACCAATAGCAATAATTTTCTTCCACAAGAACAGCTGGAGCAAAGCATTTCAGTTGCTTCTCTTTAAACATCAAACCAGCCATTTCCTACAATTTCACAATCCAAAATAGTAGGCAATGTTTTGGACTTCAGAGGCTAATTTTCAAATCTTATTTAAGACTTTTCTTGATTTAGTTAAGTCCATTCAGGATTCTGAGATGTTTGGAAGTGGTGAGGTAAGGAAATCTGTCCCTCTCCCCACCTTCCTTTAAATTAGAAATAGCTTTGTGCATAATCAAATTTCAAAAAATACACAAGGTAAATACATAGATCTCATCACCCACTTGCATTGCCATATCTCTGCTCTAAAGATAAATCACTGTATTTAAAATCTCTAGGACATTAATTTTATTATATTTGAAGATGGGTTCTCAAAGAACTGCGATTAAATTCTCCATAAATGGTAAGTAGCTAACCAGTCTTAAACACTTCACTGAAACGACAGCAAATTGAGGCTATCCATTCCATATAATCTAAACCATGTTTTTCATGAACACTGGGTCTTCTGTGGGTTTTTTTTTGCACGGCAATCCACTATGGTAGGTTGTTGATTGACGTGGACTAACTCAGGTATACCAGAAGGGTAGCTATAACAGACATAGTGGGATTCTCGATGGAAATGTACTACCCAAAATTTAATGGCTCAAGGATTCTTATCACTTTGTGTTTGATAAGAAAAAAGCAAAGAAGAAATGTCAAATATTAAAAAACACATTAAAAACAAAAAAAAACTTTTGGAAAAAGAAGGATGCAATACCCCAAGAAAAGTCGCCAGACAACACAGCTTCTTTGCCTGTGGAGACAAGTGAGACTGAAGCTTCCATTGCTGATGGGCTTCTATGGTACAGGAGGCACCCAAGGCTAGTAGCTGCTTGGGTCCTGGCCCTTCTTTCAAGAACTACACAAATGTCACTGGTTCCAGTGAAATCAATCCAGATAGGTGGATAATGACATCACCTGAAGCCTTCCATTTAAATGAGTAAAATGAGAAAACAGTGTTTTGCAATTTCAAAAAAGAACGCAGCACCTCTAACTCTCATCCTTTATGTCCAGAGTCAAGCCTTTCAGAGCCACCTGGAAGGGAACCCCTCCGGTGTTTGCCTCAAGATTTGGGGTGCACTTCAGAGCTGGAAGGGGGCTGGGAGTTCTTGGGAAACTGCTAGACTATGGTCTAAGGCAGTGGTCCCCGACTTTTTGGCACCAGCGACCGGTTTCATGGAACATAATTTTTCCATGAACCAGGGTGGGAAGGATGGTTTCAGGATGATTCAAGTACATTACATTTATTGTACACTTTATTTCTATTATTAGTATACCAAAACTGACTGAGACAAGTGCGCAGTGCTGGAAAGAGGCAGAGATGGAAGCGGTAAATAAAATAATGGGAGGGCCATGTGTGGACTGAAATAAGTGTCAGATTCTGACTTAAAGCCTGCCACCAGATGCAGCTGTACAAGTGAAGTACATCAACCCACTTGCTCTATAAAGCCTGCTATCAGATGCAGCTTAATTGTCACTTGCCACTCACTGATAGGGTTTTGATATGGGTCTGCAAACAACTGATTTATTATGGCCTCTGTGCAGTCAAGCCTCTCTGCCAACGATAATCTGTATCTGCAGCCACTCCCCAGCGCTGGCATCACCACATCACCTCCACCTCAGATCATCAGGCGTTACATTCTCATAAGGAGCACACAACCCAGATCCCTCACATGCGCTGTTCACGGTAGGGTTTGTGCTCCTATGAGAATCTAATGCTGTCACTGACTCAAAAGGAGGCGGAGCTCAGGCGTGTGATAGGAAGTGGTTGTAAATATAGATGAAGGTTCACTCACTTGCTGCTGCTCACCTCCCGCTGTGAGACACCCCCCCCCCCCCAACCCCCCAGGAAAAAAACCCCCCCCCACCCAAAAAAAGAAAAAATTTAATAAAAATAGAAAAAAAAAAAAAAATTAATAAAAAGAACATTTAAAAGGGAAAAACCCCCTTAAAAAAAAAAAACTAAAAAAAAAAAACAACCCACTTTCAAATACAAAGGGACTGAAAATCTATTTCCACCTTTCTTATAAATTAAAGAATATTATATACAATCTATCTGTACTCTAAATAGTAGCACCGCTATACCAAGTTTTTTCCTTCCCTGCATGGATTTGCTTGGCAACAATTTGATGGAGAACTGGTAAGAATGGAAGCAGGCCAGTTAGGAATGTCAGACTGCAGAACATTACTTGCACACATGGCCAAATCTATCATTAGTCTGTAACTATGTGTGCATGGAAGGATCACTCTGTGCAAGTTCTAGAACAATGTATAATTACTTCAAAAATCACAGAAAAGTTTTAGGTGGATCTGAATGAGGATGACAGTTTAGGGTATATTTCAGATGTCCTTTAGAATTCAAACACTGTAACAATGCAATTAAAAACTAATGAGAGCACCGATGGACTCTCAGGCTGGTGGGCTGAGCTAGTGCATTTAGCGCATTTAATTGGCCACTTACAAATGCCTGGTAGATAAGATGTACTGCAAAGGAGATGAGGCAGGGAAAGAAGGGAAGGGAAGACAAGAGGAAGAAGGGAAGCAGGAAAGACTCTCCTTCCCTGCCAGGTTCTGCCCTCTATCTTTGCTCCCCTTTGCAACACGACTCCTTGAAACCCTTGTTTCTACAGCGAGTCTTCGAATAATGTCACTTTGTTCAAGGTGGTTTTGATACAACGGTAATGAGATGCTGTAGGAACCTAATTCTGGTTTACATCGATCAGCCTAGAGTAAAATTGGTTTTGTTAAATGTCATTTTGCTTACTGTCGCAGAACGTGTCAAAGACATTAAGTGAGGACTTACTGTACTTATTATTTTCAACTCCTTCCATTATCTCAAGCTCACTCTCATCCTGCTCTTCCTGTCCTAACACAGCTCAAGGATCTCTAATTGCTCATTTCAACTGTTAATTCTCTACTCTATTTAGCCATCAGCAACATCTGACACACTTCAGTCACTCCATGGGGTTTGGTCCAGTTCTTCGTTCTTGATTTCCATCCTACCAACTGGGTCTCAGTCTCTTTTGCTCTTTTTCCAGCCTTAATGTTGGAGTCTTAGGAAATCCCTGTGGGCTCTTACCCTTTCTGTCTGTATCATGCCCCCTCGGTGACTTCTTTCACTCCCATAACTTTAAATATCTCTGCCAACTACTCCCAAATTTATCTTCTGAGCCCAGACATCTACCCCAAACTCCAGGCTTCTATATTCAACTGCCTCCTTAACATCTCTGGACATCAAAAACTTATTAATTCCAAAATGGAACTGCTGATATTATTTCCTGAAAACTCTCCAGAGGATTCCCACTTTATTTGGAATAACACCCTTACGATGGCCTGCAAAGCCTTGCCTGGTCGGGCCCACTGCTGCCTCTGGCCCATTACTCTCTTCCTTGCTCACTCCACTCCAACCACATTGGCCTCCCTGGCATTCCATAATTACTCTAGGCACTTCCCCCTTTTAGAAGATGTAATGATATAATCAATAATTAGCACTCACTATTCCTTCTGTCTGCAATTCTCTCCCTCCAGATAATCAGTGGCTAACCTCAGCACCTCCTAATTACCTTTGCTCAAATGCCACCTTCTGAATGAGGCTTACTGTGACCACCCTACTTAAAAGTGATTCTCTCTCCAAGATTCCCAATCTCCCTTATCCTGAGCTATTTTTTCTAAAGCATTTAACACATTCTACCATAGTATAACATTTTCCTATTTATCACTTTATTGCTCTGTTTGCTCTTCTCTTACTGCAAGAACAGGTATATTTATTTATTTTGTTCTTTGCTGTCTCCTGAACATCCGTAACTGGCCTAGCCTATGGGATGGTTAATCAGTACTGGCTGAATCGATGAGGGGAGGGGAGAAGCAGGAAAAAGAACAGGAGGGGGAAGGGAGGAGGGGGCGGCCGGGGGAGAAGGGCAGGAAGCAGCTAACAGCTAAAGATGCATATGGGTGACAACATGGCCTAGAAAAGAGGACATGCAATTACACAGAGAAGACAATGAGAAATTACCCAGTACAATAGACCACTTAGGGGTAGAGTCTGAGCTCCTTCTGGTGTCAAGAGACTGCAGGACAGGAGCCAGGCTCTGGACTGCACAGCTAGGCATATAACTATTCTGGCCCAAAATAAGCTGCTAAACGGTGTGCCAGAGGTGGCATACCCCTGAAAACATCCAACTGCCAGGTGGGCAGGAACTCTGGGGAAGTCTTCAGTTATACCTACACGGTTAGGATCTAGTATCTTCACAAAAGGATCCTGGGTACAAGCAATACAGAAGCGCTCAAGAAAAAGGTTTTGGGTGCTGCGACTTAGAGCACAAGAAAATATGTGTTTTTATGAAGACCGATTTTACATACCCATGTCCATCAAGCCTTATGTTCCCAACAAAATCGTAGAGATGTCTGTTTGGGCTTTCACACTCGACTCGGCCAGAAATTCTCATCAAACTGTCAATGTCTTTTATATCCGATGTTATTGGTAAGCCCTGTTTAGAAAATTGTAAATAAGTAAAGACTATATTAAATACAGCGCACATAGGAGGGAAGGGGGAATTCTGAATCCATCCAGATCCTACTATTTTATAAGCAATTCTCTCCCTTACACAACAAATACCCTTTTCATCAAATCATAATTAAGGGATATGATTTCTTCCCCTCCACTTGAACACAGGTTTTTAGCACGCGAATGGCACAACAACTGGACAATTCTAAAATATATTCAAGAGACTATACGCTAGTCTAAAAAGGTAGTTTTACATAAGTTCTTAAAAAACGGTTTGCTTCCAAAAGTAAATATAGTGTGAATCTGTCTTCTGAATCTCAGCAAGTGGCTAAAAAATGAATACAATCTATCTCCAAAGAGAAGAGTCTGTTCTTTTAGTTCACTGCGAAGGAAAACTCAAAAACACTTGTTTCGCCTGGCCCACGAGACCCGCCTTGCCCACGAGAACCGCCTGGCACTGAACAGGCCCCTGCTCCCGCGCCGCTCCGAATTCGGCGCTCTGTGCTGGCCTCTTCCCCTTCCCACCCCTCCCATCCTCCCACGTCATTCTCACCATTCGCCTGGAGCCCAAGAGAATACAGCAGTGTGCCGCTTAACAATGTTTCAGTCGATGACTGACGGTGTCTGTGACCGTGGCTCCACAAGATTATCGTAGAGCTGAAAAATTCCTCTTGCCTAGTGACATCATAGCTGTCTTAATGTCACAGCGCAATGCACAACTGACATGTCTGAGGCGAACCTGGTGCAAACAACCCTACTGTGCTGCCAGTTGTGTAAAGTATACACATACAATTATAACAGTACAGGATACAGGGTAACGATTATGTTACTGGCTTATGTGTTTACTATACTATACTTTTTATTATTATTTAGAGTGTACTCTTTCTACTGACCTAAAAGTTTTCTCTGGAACTGTATGCCATGTGATGCTGGCAGCAGCCTCATACGCTCATTGTTTAACTCTCCTGCTTGCATCATTTCCTCTTGCGCTTGATTTAATCGTGTGTTCTTTTGTACAGCAGCATGCTGCACGGGCCTGCGACTTGGGAGTAAGAGGCTATATCATACAGGCTAGGCGGGCGGGGGCACCATCTCGGTTGGTGTAAGTGCACTCTATGACGTTCCCACAACAACGGAATCGCCGAGGACTTGCTTCTCAGAGCTATCCCCGTCTTTAAGCAGTGCATGCCTGTCTATTTCTTAAAGGCCTCTTTAAAAACAAAAACCTCACAGTTGCTTTCTGGTAGGGATGGTATGAGCAATAAGTATAGAAATCTAAACTATTCCCAGAGATCAATGAGACATTTAGAATGGCAACGGAAACGATGGCAAAGCCAAATAATTTGGGCCAGCTGAATAGGAAAAATACATAAGCTAACACATGTCAAAGCACTTAGAATTACTACTATTATTATTATCATAATCAGAGTGTTGCCTATTCATAAAATATTAAAAATATGACAAATAGTATGTATACAAATAGGACCATATTTAATCAGGCAAATAAATCTAAGTGTTCCATGATACATAATGATACCAATTTATAAAACCTCTTTATAGTAGTTAAATGAGACAATATCTTCACTTGAACAGAATTGCCTCAACTCATGCTAGAAAGAAATGAAGCTATTGATTCCATGGAATAAGACAGCAACAATTATATAAACCTGTAATAGCTCTTACCTGTCTAATTTTCAGGTTTGTTTCACCATCTAAGTTGGATGTTTCAATGTAGCACATGGCCTGGGGCTCACTGTTGTTTAAAGTTGAAAAGAAAAATGATTTATTGGCAGAAGAAAAGCAGAATAACAACTTACTTAATGCTCAGACTCACTGAAGGCTTTTGTTCTGAACAAAGCTTTAGTTGCCTAGTTTCTTGATGGTTTTCATTCTAACTGCAAAATGCTGTGAGGCAGAGCCCATGCGTGGCAATTAATGGATCAGCCTTTCAGCCAGAAGGACCTAAAAGCAAGTTCCTGGCAACAACCAGTATAGATCTTCAAGATAAAGTAAATGATTCAATTTGTACTTAAACTGTTCATCCATACAGACACAACGTAGACTGTATCTGAAATACAAAGCCGTTTTGTGTCCAGATTTATTTTCAGCTCAAAAATATCACGATTTCATGCTCAGAGCCACATGTAAATTAGTTAAGGAAAGTGGCTGATTAGAAAATTCCAGATTGCTACTTCTAGAAACTCGTATTTACTCCCCTTTTAGAAAGGATGAATAGGATCACAGGAAGCAAAATCTTTAAAATTTAAGGCTACTTTTAAAAACTGTATGCACACATTTTGCAGTGAAGGTAGATACATACTTTTCTCCCCCCTAGCTTTTCTGCTCCTATTCTATTTCTTAAAGTTGTTTTAGAGACTTTTGTGACAGCAAAAGCTAAAACTAAAGCCAGCCAACTTGGCCACATTGCTCTTTAACCTGGACCTAGAAGATCCACTTTATGGATCCCCAGAGGAACTGTTTCAGTGAAGTTTCACATGCATTGGCTGGTGGGAGGGTTCTCCATGGAGAAAAAAAACGTTCTCCAGTTTTTTTCACAGGCACCACACCCTGGACCATTTATAACCTGCCCCTTCACGTGCTAACTTGACTTGTGTAACAATGATAGGTGGGTTTGCAGTCCATCTGTATAAACTGATCCTCAAATACAAGGAGAGGTATTCTGAAGTTAAATCTTGTTAGCACTCAGTTATATAAGTGTAATTAGCTAGCATCATGTAAGTGACTACGAATGTAATCTCTGATCTGCATGTGTATTCAAAGTTGGAAAGAAAGAAATTTGTAAGTTACAAACACCTGGAATTTTCTAATCAACTTCCAATTTGTATATGAGCAAAACAGATTATTCTGAGTTTCAGAAATGGGCCTGTAGCTTAGTTTTGTGCCCTGAAGATTTGTGAAAATTATTAAACCACATGGTTATAAAATATTTTACAGATTCATTTTAAAGTAACTTTGTATGTTCTTCAATTTACTTTATGGGCTTTTTTTTTCTTTTAATCCCATAAAAGCTGAAACTTTTTCCCAGCTGGAGGTTTTCAATATTTTCACTCTATCAATTATTCAAAGTTTTATTTTTTATTACTGTCACAACAGTAATGTGGCTCTGGCAATTGCTCCCAATTTGTAATTTACTTATGTATATATTTGAAACATAAATGGTTTATGAATTAATATGGCACATATTCTGATAACATAGAAGTATGATGAAAACCAAATGCTGAATGAACAATGCCGATTCCATATTTTGGCAGCAAAGTCCATTAAAGTTCTACTTTACATATCCAAAGCCATTCTCATATTAAAATGAAAATAACATTCTAATTCTGTTTATACTTTTTTTTCATAAAGCAACTTTTTTAGAACTTTAAATGGCTAGGGAATTAGACAGTTAAATGGCTGATTTCTACTTGAAATCAGGCAAACAAAGTATGCATCCAAATTCAGAACATACTTAATCCCTTAAGACAGCAGTTACTGAAGCAGTTCTTAACAGCGCTATGAAAAGGCAGCAAGATGTCTCAGATAAGGAATCATGCTAGATAATAAATATTTCAGCAAATTATGATGACATCCAACACACAAATTATAGCCAGAGAAGCAAAGCAGGCTTTTTGATTAGTAAGTGGAAAAATGAAACAAGATGCATATCACAATCCAGACACTAGCAGACAGCTGCGATTTACCACAGTAACGTGCACTTTGTCACTAGTTACAAGCGGGATAAAAATTGATCCCAAAGCATGCGGTACAAAATGTACAACATCGAGCTTTGTGCAGGGGGTCCTCCACAAACCCTATACAAGCCCAAATTACAGTCATGATTGCTGAAGGGATTCTCCAGAACTTAGAGAAAATTTCAAATGTAAGAATAAGGCAAATGTTTAAAATCTTAAACATTTCTCAATAACTTTGTTTCACGTGAAGCTTAACATTGTTCAAAATAATATTATGGAGAAGTATTAAGTTAAGCCTTGGTATTTAGGCATATTGTTAAATATGAATATATATTAATGATGCCCAGGAAATTAAAATCTACCTTCACCGGCATGCCTCATGGACTCCATTAATAACAAGAGGAGCTGAATCTGCCTCCTTGAGGGATGAACATCATCTGACACTGTGTTCATTTAAGAGGCTTTTAAAACACCTGCGAAATGTCCATTACCAAGAAGTATAAAAAAGTTTCCGTTTTAAAGGAAGAGGCATAGGACTCAACCACGTTTTGGTGTAACTGTTCTCTGGTGTAGGGTGAGGATCCACATACACACATCCTGTACGACTCAGAGTCTAACCTTGAGGACAGGCTGATGAGATCTGCTGGGAGATGTTCCCCATTGGTCACTTTCACTATTTCCCCTACTGCCACCTACAGGTCCCAGTTTAAAATAATTAAAATGGGGAGGAAAAAATGAATAACAGAGGGAAAAAACAAACAAATGGACAAAGGAGACAAAGTTTGAAATTATTATAGAAAATAATACATGTTAATAAAAATGTCTAATGCCAATTTTTTCAAAATTTATTTTGATCAGGTCTAAAGGCACAAGAAAACATGGACTACTTAAGGATTACTTATTTGCTTTTAAGCTCACTCAATTTTCAATTTTAAATGTAAAAGTTTTTGATTTTTTAAAAGTTTAATCACAGAATATCTTATCATATTGAATAAAAAGATATTTTTATATAGAGCTACTTTATCTGAAAGATTTCCCTCTAATTCCTCACTGTAATGACATCTACTTTAAGTGCACTCCTAGCATAGAAGAAAAGAAATAATTGTGGAACTACTTTTTAGGAAACTGCTTTTAGAAAACCAAGTATACTACACTAGCTCTTCCTCTACATACACACTAAAAAAAACTTTATTTAAAATTTTCTGACTCTAACACTTTAATTGCATAAAATGAACTTTAATGCAAAGCTGCAAAGACATGGATTTTGGAAAGATAAAAGGCATAACTGCAGTCTTTTGAGTTATTTAATAATTAATAAAGTCTATGTAACACATTATTTTGGGAGGGTAATCCTTTGAATCTGGGAGAAATCTTTCAAGGTATAAAGTAGACATGCCAAGAACCTGCTTCGATTTGATTTAATAGTTATTTTACTCTCTTTTATACTTTTTACAACTCATGCATCTATCTGTTATAAGATTTCAGTTTCATTTTAAAATGAAAATCAACAAAACACAGTAACTTTTAACTATGTTCATGTTTTAATTTCAAACTGTCTCAAAAATATATTACTAGTAACCAATAATTTAAAAACATTTAGGAATTAAAATACTATAAGCTATTTATAGCTACTGCTAAATTTTGATCACTGCAGGTGAAAATCAGCATGTACTTATTTTGATAGCAGACAGTACGGTATAATGAAGATATTAGATTAGGAATTAAGTATTCCAATCTTGACCTAGTCATTAAAGTTAAGTGGATAAAAATAAGACTTAAAGTCAAAATTCCTCTTTCTGTTAAATTATGACACAACTTCACCTACTTCTTAAGTCTAATGTAGGTTCAAAAGAGCCAAGTAATGCAAAAACCCTTTTCAGGGGAAAAAAAAAATTGAAAGGTGGTATTTTGCCACTTGGACAGAAATATCTTTCTAATAGCACAAGTTTTTACACTTTATTTTAAATTCTACTAAATTACAAAAAGAAAGGAATCTGGTAGTCTTTTTAAAAGTAAAAATCTTTGTAGGAAGTTAATCACTGTGGATATTATATTAAGATATAGAAACTATTTTGATTTACCAATATTCATAGACATCAGTGAATGTTTTTAGTATTTAGAAAATATATCCTGTAAAAATGTTCTAAAGTTTAAGAAATATAAGCACAGAGTTTGCTGGGGTTGGGCAGAGGCAGATGAAAAATATTTTGACAACTTTTACCTTGGATCTAAGTATAAATTTAGGGTAGTATAGTCAGTTATCTTCTTATTTTTGAATATACAAAATTTAAATATTGTATTTAATGGTTCAGCATATATGCTTCTCTCTAAGATAATGGTTCTATGATATGTTTAATCAGGAAAATACCAAAATTTTTTTAAATTGCTGGAATGTTTTACTATCATTTTGAACTTAATTATATAAACATCACATTCCAATGGTCAATCATCCATTACATTCCTCAAACTTTTACTTAGCACATTGTTCTGTTAGTTAGACATGGTTAAAACTTAATGAAATATTATTAATTTGAACAAAAAGGAGAATCAAGGAATATGGAAGTTTGATCAAATGATCCATTTTATTCATTTTGAAAGATATGAAATCAAGTCCAGAGAGATTAAGTATTTTGTTCAAAATCACCAAGCCAAGATAAGAAACCTGGTTTCCTGCTTCTTAAGCAGAGCTGTCTTTAATACTGAGACTACATTTTACCTGATTCAAGGACAATAAACTCACTGTTAACTCATTCTCTCATGCCATGTGTAGACCATTGCCTTTACTTCAGTTTTAGAAACCTACTGATAAAACTATAAGGAAAGGGAACTGTAAACAGAAAGGTTAAATTTAAAAACCTCATATTTTCAATTTTTCTGAAAACAAAACTTATAAATAAATGGCACAAAGAACTCTCAACTAAAAAATATGTAAATATAACTTGTTGCCTTCAACTACTTATAGACTTACTTCTATAAATATCTGGATAACTCTTACTTGCTCATTTAAATTTCACTTATTTGTCATATTTCCAATCACTGTTAATAATGACCTGATTAAATAGATTTTGAAAAAAGGACAATGTCCATATTTATATGTGATTTTACAAATAAAACTGTCCAAGGAAATGATGATAAACAACCTCTAAATTATTAAAAACAGTTTCCTTATTTTATCTTAAGACTAGGTTTATAGTTTTTAAACCTGAAACCATTTGAAAGTCACATTCTTTAAACGGTAACAGTGCCATATGTTCAATACTAATTCAAGACTATCTTAAATATAAGTTAAAAATTATCTAAATTCAGAAATGGAAAGAACTTTAAAAAAGAGCAAAATACTTTAATTTTTTTGTTGGAAGAGTATGACATTTCAAAAGATATAATGACCAAAAAGAAATCATTCATTTTCTCATACCAATGCATCACAAAGATCAAAAAACTTTGAGGGGATGTACGTATGCATCATAAAGGAATTTATCATGAACAAGGATTGCAAGATATGATCAGTAGAACCCAATCCATGTATTATATAAAATAAATGACAGGAAATTATTCAAGAATTAGTGGTCCATACAAAAGGATCTGGACATGTCCAGAGAGAGAGAGGAGACTCTTATCTGTAATTATAACTTTTGAATTATATAGTACCTATCATTTATTTTATATGGCAAGCATGAAAAAGTCCTTTAATCCAATCAGTTTTTAATGCTTAATTCAAAATCAATAGAGAGGCTTGAAAGTCTTCGTTTATTCCTTATTTCCTTGGAGAAATCACAAGGTCAACGCAGGGCAGAGAAACCATCCTCTACACTGTTTGAGCATCAGTAGGTATCTCTACCTTGATGAGAGAAGTACAGTGTCAGCAGGTATATACTCTTTGCCTTTTATTATAACTATATCTCCAACATTTACCTGAAAGAAAACTGGGAATTGGTTAATTAACTGTATTGAAAGATATGTACAAATATACAACCCATTGTATTTAAACAGAGAGTACAGTGAAAATGGTTATTGGCAAACAAGAACCACTTGTCTTCAAAATGGCATGTTATCTCACAGTGAGGCAAGGATGGGGTTTTCATTTAAAATCTGAACACTGTATGTTTATCAGCTATATATCACCTGAGTAGAATAAAATCTATCCATTTATCCATTTGACAGGTCAACTTCTCATGTTCTCTCGCTTTGACAGAAAAATAAAAAAGAGGAATTTACCAAATGAAATGTTTACCCTGTTGAAGGAAACATCAATAAAACTGGAAAACTCATCATATATATAATCATTGTTCTTTAAGATGACTTTATGAAATGGGTATTAGTTATAATTAATGATTTAGAGAGGAAGAAAATGGGTCTTAGGGTCCAAGCAATTTGCCCAAGAGTAGTAGGAGTTGAAGAGCTGAGACGCAAACCCACATCTCTCTGCCTACAAAGCTTGATTTTGCGTACATAAATAGAATGAACCGATTACTGTATTTTAAATTGAAAAAAACCCCAACTAGCTTAACCTCTTTCTCATTTTACTGTCAGGATTTTTGTGAACATGGACTGAAGGCAAATTAAAGACATACTGTGTCAGAAACTGTTAGAAGTAATTTAAGTGATAGGTTGGTCACCGAGCTTTTCGTAAACAATTCAACTTCAGTTCAGGTACACTGATGGGCGCTTCCATTGTAGCATGAAAGCTGCCCTCTCTTAGGAGCCAAATGAACCTCAAAATAAGTTTCAATTCTTAATCAAGAGAAGAAAAGTCTTTTTCATTTCCCCTCCCTACTTTTCCTTGAACCTTAAAGTAACACTTCACTAGGGGGAAGGAAAGAATGGTGTCCTCAGTGGGAATCACAATAAGAAATTATTGCTGGGCCAGCCCACTATGCCTATTTTATCCACTGGGGGAGGAACAGGTTAGGAAGGTTGGAGGGGGCCTTCTGACCTATAGTATGTATGCTGGTTATCCAGGTTGGAAGCTCTGGATGCCTTGATTCCAAAGAGATGTATTACAGCTGAAATGTGGATGATCTGAAATTGACAAATTGCCAGGGACCTCGGAGTCCCGACACCCCCGCCCCCTACGCAAAGGGCAAATTGGGAAGATAAAAAACAGCAAGTACAGATGCCTAAAGTAATCTGTGGTGAAGAAACCGACTGAAAGCAAGATGAAGAAATGTTAAGTCTCCATGCCATGGCAGTTAGAGAGGATGCTACCCAGGTGACAATTTCATTGTTCTTTAACCACTCTCTGTGTGTTAATGTTTACTCTCCAGCTGGACTATATGCTTCATAAAATCAGGATCATGGTTATCTATAGTGCAGTGTTAGGGTCTAACAGACTTAAGAAAATCTCTCATCGACTGCACTGCTTTCCAACACCTTTTTTCATTGTAAGACAAAGAAAGGCTTGTGGTTCTTAAACTGAAGACTGAAATAAAATACTAGCACCTTATAAGGTATAATGCAGTTATCTCAGTGGCCTGGGAAAACTTGGTGCTAAGTGTCAAGGTTGTTCTCACAGGAAAGCAGGGAACTCACTTCCTCCTTGTGATGCCTATACTTTAGATCATTTTCTCAAACACATGCAAGCACTTCTTTTTCTTTTCGAGTTCTGAGCTCCTAAGGTACCATTCCCACTTCCAGCCTGGTGTGCGCATAACAGGAATGGACAGAGGAGAAGGTCAAGCTGGCAAAAATTCTTTGACCAAATGTTCTAACTGGAGGACTATCATGACAAAGTAGTTTTGGTCCCCCAAATACTGCAATTAATGAAAATATTTAGGACTTTAGGCCACACTCTTGAGCCTTTTCAAGTCACTGATATTAGTATTACAATTGAGGATTATATAAAAGGGTAACCTTATCAAACTATAATAGATTGATTTAAAATTTGTCTTTGTCCCATTGTAGGCTTCAGCATTTTTTTTTTACTAGGGAATTTTTTGAGATATAAATTCTTAATCCAAAGAAATGCATTTCAAGGTGGAAACTTCATGCATTGAAGCAGCTTTATAGAGTGACTATAACACTTGTATACAGCTGACCATTCCATGCTTCTCTACAGAACCAGAAGAATATATGTTGACCCTAAGATCCTTCACCTAAACTCTCGACCTGCAACTCTCTCAAAAACCTGTGAACAGTCTCAGCTGCAGACTGGTCTTTGAAGAATTGGTCTTTGTGGTAGGGCAAGGATAGCTCTTTCTATTTCAAGAGTAAGAAGTACAATGCCTTGCATAGGACTTTGTAATTGCAATATTTTTTTTTTAAAAACCCAGATATTGGCTACTTAACTTTGAGAAAAAAAGGTTTCAGGCCAGTAACTGCAGAGGTGACTGCTAATGTTTGAGACCTGAAGTCTGCTCGTCTCTGAATGACTGGATGTACGCTATACAAATTTGTGGGTCCTCTGAGATGCATTAAAAGGCAACCACAGTAGCCACATATTTAGAAAGCCAGAGAAAGAAAGAAGTCTGAACTAAAGCCCGTTTGCACTAAGATTTATTATATTGCCTTGGCATGTGAATCTCACTCTTGGTTTTTGGTTTATTGATTTTATTTTTTAATTGCACAAAATATTACAGAAGCTAAAGAAAAGACTTGCCCCACAATCTGGCTACCCCAGCAAGCAGGCTGGCTTTCATGATCGTTCACTTAGTGTTCAATAAACCATTTTCACACAGTCAGCATCTTAGGGTACAGAGCTCTGTTCTTTTCACCCATGATTATACTTTATGACAGAGGAACCCTCATATGTCTTGCCTGCTGCTGTTAGATCACTGCTTGGCACAGATACTTGATAAATATTTGTTGCATGAACGGTATAAAATTTTTCTGTGTTGGCACAGTATCTGAAATATTAGCTTTTACTTGTCACAAAAGATACCAGAGTATAGGATGTCATAATGTTTATAAAACTCCCTACTGTTGTGTATCCACATATTTTGATTTTTCACTATTATAAACAAAACTACAATAAATATTTTTTGCACATAGAGGTTTGTCCCTACTTTATGGTTATTTTCTTGGGATAAATTCCCAGAATCTTCTTTTTATGATTCTCAATATGAAGAGCTAAACTGCTAATCCACAATGACATGTGAATAAAATACTTCATAAAATTAAAAATCATGAAGTACAAAGGAATTTGTTTTTATTTATTGAATAGATAGTAATTGGGACTTGAACATCTTTAAATTTACAACTTTTCTTAGTAGGTTGAATATTATACTGAGTATGGTTGTTTATTATAGTACTTCTTGCATAACTGCCAACTTTTATTTTCTATTTATATAACAATGATTTTAATCTTTGTCATATTTGGTGCAAATATTTTCCATATTTCCTTTATTTGTGGTAGTCTTGGTGTATGTTGGTTTTAAATTTTGTATAATCAAACTCCACAGATCTTGAGATCTTGCTCTTCTCCAAATATTTATTAAAGTCTTTACTGTGTGTTTTTCAAAAGCAATGTTTTAAAACTTAACTCTTTTAGCCAGTTGGAATTTATTTTAGCATAGGCTGTGATTCAGATATAAATTGTTTTATTTCTTGAAACTGCTAATCAGTGATCCCAAATAGTTTATTACATAATTCTTTAATTGGTGATTTTTGTCTCCTTTACCATATACTATTTTCTTCTATCACATTCTGTTCTACTCTATTTTATTTTGCTCATCAATGTCTATTTTTGCAACAGATCTACATTATTTTAATAACTTTTGCCTTCCATTTTATAGTTAATCCTTCCATACTGCTCTTCATTTTTCCAAAATACTCTTCTATTTTCTCAACTGTTTATTTTTGAAATGAAGATGAAAAATGTTGTCAGCTCTTAAGGAACTAACCAATTTCTCTGGGATTATATTACATCAATACTTTGAAACAATTGCTATTTTTAGTTTTTTAGGAATATGCCATATTTGTACATTTATGTGAATCTTTAATACCTAAAATTTTGATTTTTCTTTACCAAGGTTATATATACATATTTAAAATTTATCTGTAGGTATCTCATATGCCATTGGGAATGCAATATTTTTTTCACCATATTTTTCGAATTTGATATTGTCAACAAAACAATGCTGTTAGTTTTTGAATTCTTACCTCGAATTCATCATTGAACCAACTTTTATTAATTCTAGTTAATTAAGTACCTAATTCTAATTACTAAGAAATATCAGCTCATGTTGGCTGGATGACCTTTGGCAACACTCAAAGGTCAATCTCCCCTGTGTCTCAAAGCGGGATGCGCGGCAGTACGGTACAGCTCTCCAAGAGGACTGAACATGCTATCGTTATGGCTAATTCGGGGCTGGTAATTTAATTTTTTGTCTGTTAAAAAATTGAAAAAGAGTTACAATAATCCAGGTATATCAGCAGAATCTTGAAATAATTGCTTATTAGGAAAATAAGACTTTTTAAGAGATTAATGTTAAGGTTGAAGTAGTAGATGGTTCTCTCCTACTTTATAACTACTCTTCTGAATAAGCACTCTAGGTAAGAAGGTAAGGAACGGACCTCAAATTGTTCGGACATGCATTTATGTTAACTACACTGACAACCCTAGTGAAGAACAGACATAAGAAAATTCAACTGATCATACTTGATTATTTCCTACCGGTCCACTCTTTAAAATGTGCATATCCACAAATGCCAGAAAACAGCATAAAAGAAGTAAGAAAAGCACAGGCAAGGTATTTTCCTCTTTGTTACTTTTATGTTAGACCAAAGCGAGAGAGTGATGACTTTTCAGATACAGTAGTACCTTGGTACTCGTTAATTCGTTCTTGAACTTGTGACAAGTGCCGAAACCGAGTACCAAACGCTGCAGCATTTTCTCTTGCAGGGCTGTGTCGTGACCCATAGAAGTTCTAGCAAATATGATGAGTCCCAAGCAAGCACAGAGTGCTGAAACTTTTTTTTTTTTCATCAAAATGTGACAAGCACAGGGTTTGACAAGTTCTGAGGCCAATGAGTATCGAGGTATGACTATATCTAGTAAGGGAGATGTCAATCCCTATTCTAACCACTAATTTAAAATAACAAAAAATGCAATTAATTCAGATGGAATCCTATTCTGGGCAGAGATACAAGGTGGAATCAAGGGCATGACCTTTAATCTGCTGGGAAATAACTGAAGTACCAATCAACTAACTGTGGGTTATGTCTTGGCTAATCTCAGGAAACAAGTCCCCTGGGGAGGGCGGCCTCACCTCCCAAAGTCTTTTACCAAGTTACAAAGGCTATCATTCATTTGTGGAGACTAGAGGTTCAATGTTCTTACAGAACTAAAGGAGAACTAACAACAATTGCTTACCTGTCAAAACTGAAGTCCGAAAAGCACATGAACACTTCAACAACACTTGCTAAATGACGTCTTAACTCACTAATGACCATCTTAGAGGTCTTGTGAGCAAATTAACCTCTTGATATTATAGAACTGATTTCCAGATCGTTAAATGATTTTATTTAGTAAGACCTTTATTTTTTTTCTCAAGGAATTAGCAATACATAAATATGATTAGTCACAATTTATGAATTTGAAGTAAAATATACAAATGTGAAATATCTGAATTCTAATTTTTATTTTTACTTGGACAGTAGATGATTAAAGCAAAAATTACAACACAAAACAGTTCATGGTTAAATGAAATCTGTGAAAACAGTACGCAAAATATACCATAAAAGAAACAAAATGTTCTAAATAATTACTTTTCAAGAAAACAGTTTTTCTAGTACATGGCAGAAATATTAAATGGAAGTGACTAACTGAAGACTCCATATATGTTTGCAACATTAATTAATGGCCTTCATAGCAGTGGAATTCTTGACATTTGTTCATATTATATATAAAAGTTACATCTACTTGAGTAAATCCCTACGCATTTTTTTTCTCCTGCAACAAAATAAAAATCGATGCATACCTTTTCCCAGTGCACAATTTCCCAAGCACCATTTCTCAACACTGGAAAGAAAGAAATGTCACATTTTAAAGCACATTTGTATTATTTATCAAAAAACCTACTTCTGATGAAATGATTATTTAAAAAATAGTAACAGTTTCAAATAAATTAACCAGTAGCAATTTTTACAGGTTTCAAATGATGACAGCAGGGAAATGTAAAAGTGCATAAAGAACTGGAAACACCCAATGTACATTTTAGATCCCACAATAACACATCACTAACAGAGCAGAATCCTGCTGAGGTTGCTGAGGGCTTTTTTCAGCATCTGGAGGAATGACAGCCCTCACCCGGAGGACAAAGCCGAAAAATGACGTGGAAAAGGGCGTGACACACTTAAAAACATGCCAGAAGCCATAACAGTAACTATAAATATTTTTTAAAAATCATAGGCACAGAAGGAATAAAGTTCTAATTGGTTAGTAAACATTTAACACAAACCAACAGATAAAGAACCTGCATCTTTAGGTTTATAATAATGCAAAAGAGCAAACGTTTCCGTATTTGGTTTACTGAGAAGACGTGAAAGAAGAGATGACTATTAAATTATGAGAGGAAGGTTGATATTTCTTGGTGTTTCATTACTGTTCTGCAAAAGTAATGTTACTCAGTACACCATTTTTCTCCCTACTATGTGTTTGTGGCATAACAATGAATACACCAAAAGACACTAAAAGATAAAACAAAAAGAAAGGAGAGAGAATATGTGAGATAGATAGCTCAGCACTGGGTACTTAAAAAAAGGAATGTCAAGATGAGTCAACAAATTGTCCTGATAGCAAATACCATGAGGGAAAACTGGTATTTGCTTTAACACTATCTTTCCTGGAAATGACATGTACCAGACACACAGCAGTTACTCAGCAAATATTTGCAGAATGAATAATTTATAGGTACAAAAACATTAGATTTAGTTTCTTTTGAAGAAACTGAACTAAATCACAATAATCATCTCTTCAACTTTAAATAGCAAATCTAACATTAATTACGAACTGTCTTGAAACCAATATTGCAATATAAATTATTTTAATCTAAATATAATCTTTTCATGTCCTAAAACTCCCCGAACACAGGGGCTCTCTTATCATTTCTTTATCTCTAGTACCTCATGGCACTCCTGGCATATAAGACACTAAAATGCTTGTTAAACAAATAAATGCAACAATGGGTATCTTATAGTGCATTTTGGTGAGTCAACTTCATTAATTAAAAATAGTAATTCCAAGTTGAAGAGCTAAAATAAAACTATGTCCAGTATAATAATTCTAACTATTAAACAAGGTCAAGTTCCAATTTTTGTGGTATTCATACAATTAAGGGACAAGGATCTGAACCATAAGCGTCTAAAACTGATCACTGTACCCTAACATACAAAACTCTAATGTCTGCAGTTTACCCAAACTGACCCCAGGGGTAAGCCTGCTCCTTGACGTTGCCCCCAAAGTAGTCGGGTTCAAAGCATAAGATTTACAGTAAACAAACAAAAAACCCTGGGTGAGATACCATCTGTCATTGCCTAGCAGCGTCTTCCTCAAAATTAGTTGTTTCAAAGAATAAAGAATAAATGAGCACTGGCCCTTTTAACCACTTAACCCAGGAGCTACACTACAATAAATCCTACACAAAGAGAGCTGGCAAAGTGCCATTCGAATCAACCCTCACCGAGATTAAGTGACAGTAAAAGATTTGCTAAAATTTGCCATTACTTTAACTTAGAAAAAAAATCCCTTTCAACAGTATCTAGAGCTTAAATACTCCCTCAACTGCAATACTTAGTGTTTTTTCTAAGTGTCTAATATTTCTAAAATCAAGAGATGTGGCCCGAAGCTGGAGACTTCAGGCTTATCGGGAAAGCTCAGAAGGTCAGCCAGTCAATTCCCACACTGCAATGTGTGTCTGGGACAGAGCAATGGCCACTGCTTCTGGGGGGGCGGGGTCACCGCCCTACCACCGTGTTCATGGTTTCCTGCTGCTTCCCTTATGTATCTGTCTGCCTGGCTCAAGTTTGTGAGGTTTTCTTCTGTTAATGGAGGTATAACTTATGATGAAATGTACAGATCTTTAGAGTTCTGTTCAATGAGTTTTGAAAACTGGAAGCACCTGTGAATCCACCAGTCAGAACAACACACAGAACTCCCGAAAGAGTCCTCATGCTCCTTTAACTCTGTACCTCCATCCCCAGAGGCAAATATAGTCACTGTAGATTAGGCTTGTATTTCATACACATGAAATCACACCATATGTACGCATTTTGTATTGAGCTTTCAACCAACATACCTGAGATTTTTTAAAAATATATGTTTCCTTCCCCCATTAAACTGATCTGGTAGAAAGGTGATCAATTTCTGGACTCTATTTATCCCATTGATCAATTTGCGTATCTTCATACCATTACATACCATCCTGATTACTGAAGCTTTAGGGTAAGTCTTGAATTGAGGGAGTGTAATTCTTCCCACTTTGTTCTTTTTTAATATTGTCTGACTATTTAAGTTCTTTATATTCCATATAAATTTTAGAATCATATTGTCAGTTCCTAAAAAAAGAGAACCCTCCCAGGATTTTGATTTGGGTATGAAGTCTTTTAACTCATGGATAAGCTGCATCTCTGATTTCATTTGAGCCTTCATTAGTTTCTCTTGGATATGTTTTTATAGTTTTCAGTGTATGATCTTTCATTGGATTTATTTCTTGATATTGGATATTTTTATCTTACGTTGTAAATGGTACTTTTTGTTCCATCTTTCAGTTGGTCACTGGTAGCGTATAGGAGTGTATTAAACTTTTGTACGACGGCCTTGTGATCCCACATTTTGTTAAATTCACTTACTGGTTCAGGTGGTAGGTATTTCTTTCTTGCTCTTTTGTTGCTCTTTTTATATCAATACTTCTAAGCGACTTAATTGCTATTTATTAACAATGCTGTATTATGATTTTTGGCAGTTTTACTATGCTCTTATGCCTATTCATTGCTCATCTCTTTATTTTTAAATTTTTAAACTTTTGCTATTGTTCAAAAAAAAAACCCTTTGAAAACTGAGAATAATTTTTACTAACTAAACAATGTCCTGTTAATTTTGTGACTTAAGCATCTCAAGCTCTGCCAATTTTTTTGGTCTCCACCGTCACCCACCCCAGCACCCCTATTTTAATCAGCCATCATCTGCTCCCTGGGGGCCTGCATTAGCCACACCATGAGGTGCCTGCCTTCATTCCTTGTCTCTTTCAAATTCAGCTTCTACTATAATGACTCTATGTAATGATTTTCCATACGGATAATAATTATGTATTCTTATGGATCCCTATGCATCCGTGTATGTGCATACATACATTCTTACATGCACATATACATACAAAAGATTAGTTCATCCCCTGCTTAAAACTCTTGGTCAACTGGCTTCTGGTGGCTCATAAAATAAGTCCAAAGGCCGACAAGGCCTTTGGGGAAGCAGCTCTGGCCTGCTCGCCATGCCCTCCCCCTACCCTCTCTCTGCCCTCTCCCCGCACCCATGCTCTTTCTTCCTAAAATCCATTGCATGTGTTTCGGTGTCTGAAACACGCTTTCTTTCCATCCTCATCCTCACCTAGATAACTTCTACGTATTCTCCAGATCTCAGCTTTAACCTTACTTTAGCAGGGGGCACTTTTTTGACACCCACTTCTTCGCCATTAACCCCAAGTGCCAATGAAGTCCCGCACTTCCCCTTCAGAGCACTCATCGCCGTTTCACTGCACATTTAGTGGAGAGGTTTAATCTGAGGGCTGTCTCCTCCCCCAGACTGTGAGCTCTGTGACCATGGGAACCTTCTCTATCCTGCTCCCTGCTGTCCCCCAGGCTGACAAAGGTGATCCACTGGTGTTAGGTGTTCAGGACCACATGAAACCATAGTAGCGGTCACATGGATTTACTAAAGACACAACCCTGCTCCCTAGTAAATCTCACATTAAAAATGACACTTGCATGATACTTAAAAAAAAAACAACAACCCAGTCTAATAGGAAAATACTTTGGCAGTTCCTAAAAAAAAATTAACCACAGAGTTACCATACAATCCAGAAATTCCATTCTTAAGTATTTACCTGAGAGAACTGAAAACATATGTTTACACAGAACGTTGTATAGAAATGTTCATTATAGCATTGGTCATAAGCCAAAGAGTGGAAACAACCTAGCTAATGAGTGAATAAACAAAATGTGGCATATCTATACAATTCAGCCATAAAAAGGAACGAAGTGCTGATGGATGTTACACTTAATGTTACACTAAGTGAAAGAAGCCAGATATAAAAGGCCACACATTGTATGATTCCAATTATATGAAATGTCCAGAACAGACAAATCCACAGAGATAGAACATAAATTTGTGGATGTCAGGGACTCATGGAAGGGGGAACGGGGATTGACTGCTTCCATGTATGTGGTTTCTTTTGGGGTTGATGGAAATATGCTGGAATTAGTGGTAATGGGTACATAGGCTTGTGAATACACACAAAAAACCAAATATATACTTAACAATAATGTATCTTATGATATGTGATTACAATAAATAATAGCTACATAAAAAGGTGCTAATGAACTATTTAGACATTTGCTTAAAATTGATATGTCTGTATTACAAGTTGCTGAAACAATTCCACTGCGTGAACAGTTGGAAATGGCTATGTAACCACTGGACGCGCTCACATGCGTGTCCCCTGATGTCAGCTCAGGGCCACCCCTTCCAGCTCTGTAACCTAAACTAGCCCTCCTTGCCACTTCCAAGATGTTTGTTAGTTCACATCTAAAAATAGCCCTCAACCACTCCATTGGGTTCCACTTCACAGGACAGAAAGGTCACACAGCCTCTCCTAATTCATCAGATGACACTTCATTAAGAAGGGTGAAAACTAGTGGCACTTCCACAAAACCAGGGAAAACAATCCACAAACCTGCTTTACTTCTCCGTCTTCCATAAATGCTCATTTCCCCTTAACCGTCTATCACTTCTTTCTGCACATTCGA